AGCTTAGTTTCTCCAGTCCTATACAGTTCCGGAGCCCTTGCCTGGGGAATGAGGCCACCCACAGTGGACTGGGTTTTTCCACATCAGTTGATTTAATTCAGCAGCCTACAGACACACCTAAAACAGACAATTTCTTACTGAAGCTCTCTTCCCATGATTTAGGTTGCATCAAGTAGACAATTAAGGCTAACTACCATAGTTGGTAACAGTGGAGGCGGTATACAATGACAACTTTGTGCTTTGGTGAATTCATTTGTGCCCACGGTGGTGGGGACATAGATGAGCATATCATTTGAAGCTGGGGCTGAATGGTTTTCAGGGGTTCACAAATGATGGTATGACAGAAAAAGGACTCAAACTGGCTTCATCCTAAAGTCCCACTTCTCAAACTCTCTGGGATGCTGGTGGAGGGTTAAATGCACACCATGCAGAAAGGCTGAGCAGGAACGGTCCAAGGCATCGTTGAGTGCTTCTTGGGTATTCTCCTACTTGTACTGAGGTCTCATGACAAAAATGCCTCTGTAGTGGGTGATAGGTGGTCATGGTCCGAATTCTGCAGTTAACATGGATGTTTGCTCTGTTGGATCACGTGACAGCTAAGTGCCCTTGCAGTTTAATGCTCTGTGCTGTCACTATTCAGCACCCGGGGAGATAAAGCCAACAGTGTGTACTGCTACTCACAAGTGTACAAAGGAAGATAGGACTGGCAAGCATGTGACTGACAGAGAGGTGGCAGGCTATAGAAACATTTTCAGCTTCTAGATTATTCGATTTAGTAAGTGTTTGGTTATAGCACATTACTGTTAATAAGTGAAAGTAAGTCTATATGCCCTTTTCTAATTTATATAGTGGAATTTTATGCCTCATGCATTCAAATATATAATTGTACATCCCCCCAACTAGTATATAAAACTTTCAAAGGGTCTTAATGATTTTCAATAGGTCTGAGACAATCTAAAATCATGTTTAAAAATTGTTAACAGATTGAAAAAGAGGAACAGGGACATTGTGAGGTTACTTGGGAAATGCTACTCTCCCTTCCAAGGTTAAGTGTAATTTTCACTCACCCATATCATAATTAAGATGGGTTTGCAGTAAAACTGATTTTCTCAGTGAATGTGTGTGATGGCTATTCTTGGTTGTCAACTTGTCTATGGCTGGAATCACTAAAGTGCTCATGGCACCTGTGAGAGATTTTTTCTTAACTGAGTCATTTGAGGAGGGAGGACCCACTGTTTTGGTTTTGTTTTTCGAGACAGGGTTTCCCTGTGTGCCTCTGACGGTCCTGGATCTTGCTCTGTAGACCAGGCTGGCCGCCAACTCACAGAGACGCACCTGCTACTGCCTCCTGAGTGCTGGGATTAAAGGCGTGCAAAGGCATGTGCCACCACTGACCAGTTGGGAGGACTCATTTTAAATCTGGATCTTTTGCAGTGGGAGGAGCCACCTTTAATTTGGGCCACACTTTCTTCTGGTAGCCTATATAAAAGACACGGGAGAGGGACCCTCGATCTTTGCCTGCTTGTCCTCACTCTGGTTGTCAAGTCCATTCCTTTTCTGGCATTAGAGCCTATTTCTTTGGGATTTTGGCATATACTGAAGATCATTTGAGACATCCAGCCTCGTGGCCTGAACAACTGCTGGATTCTTGTGCTCTCTGCTGGTAGACAGCATTGTAGGACCACAGCTTGTCAGCCACTCGAATGAAACTCCTTTCTCTCCCCCCCCCCATCTCTCTCTGAGTGTGTGTGTGTGTTTCAGTCTATGGGATTTGTTCCTCTAGAGAACCCTGACTAATGATTTTCAATAGGTCTGAGACAATCTAAAATCATGTTTAAAAATTGCTAACAGATTGAAAAAGAGGAACAGGGACATTGTGAGGCTACTTGGGAAATGCTACTCTCCCTTCCAAGGTTAAGTGTAATTTAACCTTACGTAGAGATTTTGCTACCAGGATTGCCATTGGGTGTTCAAAGCTTGGCAGCTGTTCTATGGCCTTGGAAGATAAGAATGCGTGTGAAATGCAGAGGCTGGAGGCCTCCCAGCTTGTGAAGTTCCAGAGGGAAGTTTGAGTGTCGCTGTTGCACAATATGAATTAAGGATCGGTGGTTCTGGTCAACTGAGGAATCAGCCGTGGCTAACAAGAAAGCAGAACCATTGAAGAAGTGGGGCAATTGACGGCAGTCCCCCGGTGCTGAGAAATTAGGAGGATTAAGAAGAGAGCCGCATCATTAAGGTGAAATCTTCTAGGAAGTTTTCCCTCAGAGCCAGCATACAGAAGCTGCGTTCCAGAGGTGACCAAGGTTGTAGCTCTTGCAGACAGCTGACTTTGGTAGTGTAGAAGTCACCCAGGTGGTCCTGGTTTTGAAGACATGACGGGGTCAGGAAGAACAGCTCAGGCTTGGCACTGGGAGAGGCCAGGAGAAGCCATTGGTGAAAATGCAGCCGCAGTAACAGTTAAAGGAGTCACACAAGGACGATGAGGCTTGGCACCATGAAGACAGCACAGGAGAGGCTATTGGGGAAAGTGCAGCCCAGTTGCCACAGAGGACCCCAGCATTTTGGGGGTGTCAGTACTATGAGATGACCACCAAAACCAGCGACAGTCCTGGAGCCAGCTAGAACTAGAAGCCTAGCTGTGTGTGCTGTAGAACATGGAGCCAGAGACTTGACCTGAGCCCTTCAGAGGGTCTCAGTAGATTGTGAGTGGACTCTGGACATCAGACATTGAGGAATTTACACAGTTGGAGTTTGGTTTTGGTTTGATTTGATTGTGACTTATCCGTGGTTCTTTCTTCTTGAAGTAAGGCAGTATTTAGTTTATTTTCGATTTTATGGGAGCCTATTGTTGAGAGAATTAGATTAGAAAAGACTTTGGATTTTAAAAAGAGACTACATTTTTAAATATTTAAATGTTTAAGGGCTGTAGGATGGGACTGTTGACGTTTGTAAAGTTTTCTATTGTGATGTCTTTATGTGTGATCTTGGGCAAGAAAAAGAATGGAATGATTGTGGCTTACCAAGTGATATATGTTTCTGTGTCAAATTGACAAGGAGTCAGTTGTACTGGCTAGTTTTATGTCAACTTGACACAAGCTAGAGTCATTTGAGGGGAGAGAGCCTCCAATGAGGAAATGCCTCCATAAGATCAGGCTGTAGCAAGCCTGCTGGGCATTTTCTTAATTAATGATGCATGTCCAGCCCATTGTGAGTAGGGTCACCCCTGGGCTGGTGGTCCTGGGTCCTATAAGAAAGCAGGCTGAGCAAACCAGTTCGCAGCATCCTCCAGGACCTCTGTATCCACTCCTGCCTCCAGGTTCGAACCCATGTTTGAGTTCCTGTCCTGATTTCCTTTGACGGTGAACTGTGATGGAAGTGTAAGCCAAAATAACCCTTTCCTCCCGAGGTGCTTTGGGTATGGTCCTTCCTCACAGCAACAGCAACCCTGACTGATCCCAGCAAACACGAGACATTATTTATGATCAGAATGCTTCTTTTTCTGTCAAGAACAGAACTATCTGTTACATGCTTCACGGATCTGTGAAGTAAGGTGATGTAAGTGTACGGATGTCTACAAAATCCACTCAGCAGATTAAGACTACTTCGGATACACATATTTAATATTTTACAGTTGTAGTCAATTTTTTAAAAATGCTTATTATTATGTATACAATATTCTGTCTGTGTGTATGCCTGCAGGCCAGAAGAGGGCACCAGACCCCATTACAGATGGTTGTGAGCCACCATGTGGTTGCTGGGAATCGAACTCGGGTCCTTTGGAAGAGCAGGCAATGCTCTTAACCACTGAGCCATCTCTCCAGCCCCCGTTGTAGTCATTTTTTGGCTTTCTTTTTTTGAGGCAAGGTCTCCCGTTTCATATAGCCCAGACTAGCCTTTCTATATAGCCTAGGATGCCTTTGGATTTTTTTTTTAATATTTATTTATTTATTATGTATACAATTTTCTGTCTGTGTGTATGCCTGAAGGCCAGAAGAGGGCGCCAGACCTCTTTACAGATGGTTGTGAGCCACCATGTGGTTGCTGGGAATCGAACTCGGGTCCTTTGGAAGAGCAGGCAATGCTCTTAACCACTGAGCCATCTCTCCAGCCCAGCCTTTGGATTTTTATAATTTCTCCTGCCTACATTTTCTACGGGCCCCGCCCCACCGGTGCTGGGGATTGAACCCAGGACTTCTTGCAAGTATTTGATCAACTTCTACTCCTGCGCTAAGCAGAACTTTTCTATTTCAGTCGCAGACCCTGGCCTCAGGCAAAGATTCTGACTAGAACTAGCGGGTGGCTGCGAAGGACCGCTAGCGATCCGTAGGGAGACTCGGGCCACTCCGCAGAGAGCTGAGGTGGGAGGGAGACAGCGACTCGCTGGCCTCACGTGACCTTAGGGGCCCCCTGGGTAGCTCGGAGCCCGCCCCTCGGCTCGGGCGAGGGGAAGGGGAGGCGCATGCGCACGCCGTGGTAGTGATGGAGGAGAGAAGATGGCGGAAGCGGAGTGAGTGACTTGCTGGTGACTGATGTCGTAACCGGGGGGCGAGGGAGGGCAGCGACACGTCCCCCCGAGGGAGCTCTCAGGGCCCTGAAGCTGACAGTGCAGGGCTGAGGAGAAGCGAGAGTCCCGGCGTGGTGGGGGAGCCGGGGCGGGGGGGGGGGCGAGGAGGAGGGTGGCAGGTCGGGTCAGCCTCCCTTCGGGAGTGCGTGTGGCGCGGTCCGGCCCCGCCGCCGCGGGGCCCTACCCGTGCGGCCACCCTGGGGGCCCGGGCCTGCGAGGTCTCCCTGGACGCGAGCTCTGGGGCGCTCTTCCTGGGCTGTCACCCTGGCCGCGGGCCCCGCCGAGGTGTGTCGGGTTGGGGCCTCCGCCAGGCCTCCGCGCTGGCTCCTGCGGCCCGAAGCTGTTCGTCCGTCCGCCCGTGCGGCGGGACCGCGGAGCCGGGGGACGGCGGGGGACCGCGGGGGACCGCGGGGAGGCGTCCGGGCGGGCAGCAGCGGCGGCCGAGGCACCGGGCCTTTCCTGGCTGGCCCCTCCGGGCTCGGGCTGCAGCGGCGTGCCTCCTCCCTGGAGGGCCGCATTCTTGGGTGGCGCTGTGATGGTATGCTGGGTTAGCGACTCGAAACTTCAGTGGTTCCCGGGTAGGCCTCTGTGGGGGCATAGCCGAACGGTGCTGCTATTTCCACGCCAAGCCCATGCACTTAACCGAAAGTGTTCTTTTGTACCAGGCCTCGAAACGTAATGCGATGATTTTTGGTCAGTTGCACTCACCAATGTTTAGAATTAATGTCTAGGTTCTCTGTGACTATTTAACTACTTGCCATCGCGTTTGGGCTTGAGAACACAGCTGAGCAGAATATGACTTTGAAAGACCAGGGTCTGGGCTGGGATTTTGATGTCGTTGGTACATGGTGCAAACGTGTCATGACAGAGGGTAGTTGGAGTAAGATTTTACCTTACTGCTGATTGCGCGTCATATTGAACAGGTGCCGGATGATACTGTGGTTTGCTGATTAGAAGGCAATTAAAAAAAATAGCGAAGTATAAAAGTGTATGGTTCAACTTACAATAAAAGAAGTAGTGAGAAATCACGCCTCCCCGTTTTCCCCTCCCTTCTGTAAAGTGGATGTTAATTCAGGGGTGGTGGGCTGGAGAATGAGTCTCACTGAGGCCAGCCTGGGCTACATAGTGATCCGCTGCTTTGTTTTAGAAAGACAAGCAATGTCCTTGTTACATTCTTGTCAACGATGGGAATGTCACTTGGTTTAAATTTTATTTCTCAGGAGAAAAAGATAAGGAAAGGGGAAACTAGTAAAACCTCCCGTGGGGCTCTGACCCTGCTGTGACAGCTGGTGGGTTTCAGTTTGGAACAACATGGAAGCCTTTGGGATTGACCTTAGAGGTTCGAGATTATTAAAACATTTAGTTAGGTGAAACTTTGCACCATAGCATAAATGACATAAGATTGTAATACTGGGGGGGGGGAAAGATTATAAAGTTTGCTACAAAAATGTATTTTACTAGCTGTATATAGGAAAGTGAGTCAGTTGTATTCTACCACCGCTCCAAATTTTAAATTCTCCATGAAAAAAGATTTTTGTAAGGGTGTAAGAAGTTGAGCTGGGTGGTGGTGGCGCATGCCTTTAATCCCAGCACTCAGGAGGCAGAGGCAGGCGTATCTCTGTGAGTTCGAGGTCAGCCTGGTCTACAAGAGCTAGTTCCAGACAGACTCCAAAGCTACAGAGAAACCCTGTCTCGAAAAACAAAAACAAACAAACAAAAAAGAAGTTGCTTTTATTGACTACTTCATTTCCTTCAGTGGACTAATCTGTTAGTAAGCTAAACTCTGTACTAGAATTAGTAAGGACAATGTTGTAGACTAATAAAAAAAGCTACTGAGAGCTGTAAAAAAATTAACTTGAAATGTTTATATGTATGGGTATTTTGCCTGCATATATGTCTCTGCATTACTCCATGGTTTGTGGCTGGCTCCTCAGAGGCCAGCAGAAGGCATCTGATCCAGGGACTCAGGTTCGGAGGGTTATGAGCCTCTGTGTGGGTGCTGAGCATCAACCCAGGCAGGCTCTTTGCAAGGACAACTGGTGGTCTTAACCATTGTACCATCTCTTCAGCCCCACTAACTTTTTAATTTTTATTCTTTAATTAATTAGTTTTCTTTTTAAGAGTCAGGATCTTGTGTAGCCCAGGTTGGCCATATTTAGCTGAGGATGACCTTCCCTAAATGCTAGAATTACATGTGTGTGTGCCACCACACCAGGTTTCCTGAGACTTTTTAAATAACCTATGGCACCTACAGTTAAACTAGTGATTTTAAGTCCTGAGGAATCTTCTCTAAAGTATAGCTAAGAATGACTTTGAGGGATGGAGAGATGGTCAGCAGTTAGCATAGGACCCGAGTTCAATTCTCGCACCCACATTGTGGCTTAGAACTGTTCATAACTCCCATGTACAGGAGCACACAGACACATATCTTCCCTGTAGACATCCAAGAAGGCATAAATAAGCAGAGAACTCTGATATTGCTTGGTTTCAAATCTATCAAATCTGCCCCCCCCCCCTTTTGAGGCAGAGTCTCTCTGTGTTCTGTGTAGCCCTGGCTGTCCTGGAACTCTGTTTGATGATAAGGATGTCCACGAACTCGCAGAGATCTGCCTGCCTCTGTGCCTCCTGAGATCTGGGATTAAAGGTGTGCACCACCACCTCTGGGCTTCAAATCTATCCTTTTTATTGAAAATGTTTTCATACAATATATTTTGATTATGTTTTTTCCCTCTCCAATTTCTCCCAGATTCTCCCTATCTCCCTACCTACCCAGCTCTGTTCTTTTCCTCTCAGTCTTTTTAAACAAACATAAAAACAAAAGCAAAACCCCAGAAACAGCTGGGTGGTAGTGGCGCGTGCCTGATCCCAGCACTAGGGAGGCAGAGGCAGGTAGATCTCTGAATTTGAGGACAGCCAGGGCTACTCAGAGAAACCTTGTCTTTGGGAATGGGAAGAAAAAAGAAACCCAGAAATATATCCCCCCCCCCCCACAACGGCCTACAAAAGCGAAAATCAAATAACCAAAAGATCAATTTTAGACAAAAATTGCCAAAACAAAGCAAAATGAAGCAAAAGGTCCATAAAAGTTCATTTTGCATTGGCTGACTTCTGGGCATGGGACCTGCCCTGAAGTGTGCCTTGATAGATATATCCAGTGAGACTTCTTGGGAGAAAATTTATTTTCCCATTGCCAATGGGTGTCAATTGCGGATAGCTTCTTGATTAGGACTGGGACCCTGTGTCTACTCTCTTGTCTCTCAAATTTGTCCTTTTTCAATAATACAAACATGAACTTCAATCTAGCCTTGGTCTCAGTTACTGTTCTGAGTCATTTGAATTCCGTTTAGCAGATATTACTATCAACTATTCTGTGTATGGGAGAAGTATGTTTCCCTTCTATTTGGTGATTGTGTGCTAGCTTTATTGTATTAAGACATTTAGACTCTTAACTAATTGTGTTTGTAGTGAGTATTCATTAAAGTTCATAAAATAGTGCTTTTTACCAGTACTGATCCTTTGTGTTGTCTGCAGATTTAAGGATCACAGTGCAGCTATGGATAGCGAACCAAACTCTGGAACCTCTTCAGTGTCAACGACAGCCAGTAGCACTACCACCACCACTATTACCACTTCCTCCTCTCGAATGCAGCAACCGCAGATCTCTGTCTACAGTGGTTCAGACCGACATGCTGTTCAGGTATTTCAGCTATGTGCGTGGTGAGGTTAAGACTGAAGATGGTGTACTGTTTTGTTCCTAAGTCCGTTGTATGTGTTGATTCATATCTTAAGATAGAATTGCAAAAGTTCAGTCTGGGAATGCAGCTCAGTGGTTGAGTGCTTGCTAATCTGTGTTTGTTCTCTAGTATTGTCAAAAATCAAGTAAAAGAAAAGAAGTAATATTAAGTTTTTAAAAACCAATAAAGGTATTTAATAATTGTACTATTGAGAGGCCTTACATTTATCCATATGAATCTTATTATGTGTGAGGCAGTGAGGGAACCAGTATAGGACCAAACTAGACCCTCCGAGTGTGGGTGACAGTTATATGACTAGGGCAGACTGTGGGACCACTGGCAGTGGACCAGGATTTATTCCTACTGCTTGTACTAGCTTTTTGGAAACCCATTCTCTTTGAATGGATACTTTGTACAGCCTAGATGTGGTGGGAAGGACCTTGGTCCTGCCTCAAAGCAATGTGCTAGACTTTGTTGACTCCCCATGGGAAGCCTTGCCCTCTCTGAGGAGTGGGATGGGGGGTGGGAGGGGAGGGAAGGTGGAAGGAGCAGGAAGAGGGGAAGGAGTAGGAAAAGGATTTGGCATATAAAATGAGAAAAGGTAGTTTTTTAAAAAAATAAAAAAAGATTATGTGTCAGGAAAATTATAATTGAATGTCTTTATGTGCCGCCGTGAGAGTGAAAATATTATGTGTAAGGTGTTTAAGATAGCTGCTTTTCTGACTTATGTAATATTTGAGCCCACCAGTGATTTAGAGAGAACGTCTCACCTCCAGGCGGTGTAAGAGCTCTAAGCAGGACGGCTCTACAGCCTCTTGGTAGAGAGGGAAGAGAATATTTTTGAAAGACTTTTATGCAGTCACTTAATTGAGAAAGTAAAATTGACTTAGTTGAACTTTATACCAGTAGAGACAATAAAGTATTGTTTTAAAAAAGACATGAGTGTTGCAGTCTGATGGGTTCTTTGTTTGAACTCTGTTTTCATTTTTCTTAATATCTGTGTGTCCTTGGGCAAAAGGCGTGATTGTCTCCCTGAGCCCCAGGAAACAGTAAGATGAGGATAACACTGTGCTTTTATCAGTTACTGTGAGAATTAAATGAAGCATCTAGAACTGTGTGGGGGACATACAGTTTCTAATAAATGATAGTAGTGTCTGTCTGTTGAACAACTTTTTGTGCCAAGCATTTAATGAATGCTTTCCTTATGTGGATTATTTTGTTTAATCCTCAGCAGACCTCTGTGCAGTAGGCATTTTACAAATGGGAATACCAGAGTTTCAAATAGACTAAATAATTACAAATTCACATTGCTGGTAGGTTTTCTGACTTCAGCTTCTGCTTCCATGTACTTGCCTTCATTTTATAGGATCCTCAGTTGCGTTCTTTAAAGTTGTGTGGCTTTTTTTTTTTTTTTTTTTTTGTACTGGGAATCAAAATGTTCTTTAATAGTTGCTTTCTTCACTGTTTATCCTACACTCCTCCCTGTGCACTGTCCTTCATGGTAGATAGAGGACAGTTTTAGACCTAGTCAACACAGCAGAAATTCAAACTTGAATGCACAGTATGCTTTTAATACCTTCTGTTTTCTCTGTGTGAGTGATATGTGGAAGGATATTATATTGAAGAACATACAGATGGTATGATATTTGACTATGCTGTTTTTTCATTTTTCACTTAAACTGGATAAATTCATGAATGAAATGTTACTGAGCAGGCACTGATAGGTCTCTCAGGAAGCTCAGACTCTAGTTATTACAGACCACTGAGTTACCTCATCTACGATGTCTTCAAAGCCATGTTCATTGACCCAATTAATTATCTTCTGTTTTCGTCGTGTGGATTCTCTTCACCCTGGTTCCGTAGAGAAACAGTAAGAATGGTGTGCTGTGCTGTAACTTGCAGTTTCAGTGCTGGGTGTCTGTGGTGCGTAGACTGCTCACACCGGCGGTGCTGAGAGAACCGGCATCAGGCTGCCTGTTCACTTGTTACTCAGTGTGAGTTTGTAGAAATTTGTTATGGAATTAGAAGATCATATGTGGATTTATATGACCAAAGAGAAATACTGTAGGTCTGGGTCATTTAGTGTTTTGTCCATGGTCTTTGGCTATGAGTACTCAGCTAGGAATCTAAGAAGACTTCGTAACAGGAACGGTGTGTAGTTTGAGAGAGGTAGGAACACAAGTGAACAGTAACTCATGGAAATCTGAGTAAAGGACTTCATAGCTTTATGTTAGCTCTCCTGACTTCCTGTGGGTTATAGTACCTTTGCTCCATGGGTGCTGTGAAACCCTGCTGTAGTGCTGAGATTGGAGCTCTGCTGGTCCAGAGTCACAGTGCGTGTGATGAGGCAGTATGACTTACCTTTTGAACAGATGGGAGGAGGCTTTTCTATTGACTTTTTAGAATGATTGGCCTCTGTGAGGGCTCAGATTTTATATCTATTAATAATCACTGTAATTAATGATTTTTATAAGTTTATTTTTAACAAAATTACTCAATGTTATTAAAAAGATTGGATTTATTTATGTGTTTTGACTGCATGTGTGTATGTCCACCAAGTGCATGAAGTGCCCATGAAGGCCAGAAGAGGGTGTCCCGTTCTCTAGAACTGGAGCTGTGGATGGTTGAGAGCCACCACATGGGTGCTGGGAGCTGAGTCTGGGCCCTTTGGAAGAGCTAGTGTTCTTGACAGTTGAGCCATCGCTCCAGCCCTATATATATGTTTTTAATGTGTGTGTTTGCCTGCGTGTATATATGTGAACCACGTGTGTGCCACTTTTCCACCCAAAGATGGTGTCAGGTGCTCTGGAACTGCAGTTATAAGCAGTTGTGAACGACCACATGGTGTTGGGAGCCATACTTAGGTCCTTCACTGAGCCAGGTCCCCAGCTCCAGTAGTTGTTAAAATATTCTTCTGCCAGAGTCCCAGGAGCTGGTGAGATGGCTCAGCAGATAAAGGCATTTGTATTTGAGCCCAGCAGCCTGAGTTTGATTCCTAGAGTCCACATGGTGGAAGGAGAGAACCAGCTTCTGCAAGTTTCCTCTGACCTCACACACACATGCCATGGTACATCAGTACACAAATAAAGAAATACAGTTTTAAAACAAAGATTAAGACTAGTCCTATGTGGAAACAAAACATCAGGTATTTTTTAAAAATTAAAAAATTATTGAGTCTTTTTATACTTGTTTAATTTTATACAATATTTAATATAATTGAAGGACTTTCAAACACGTGTAGAAAAGTTCAAACCAGACACTAATTTTATCATATTTACTTGTTATTTACTTGAGTATTTTAAGACCAAATGGTATCCTACTCAGTGATTTTCTTCACCTTGAAATATATTGGTACTTTGTATCATATAGCTCTGTATCTGCACTGTATAATAGAGAAGTCACTAGGCATACCTGTAGTAATTTATATTAAAACTAAAATTCAAGTTCAGTTGAAAGTTAAACCTTCTTCTTTGTTCCAGCCATTTTTATGTACTTGCTGGACGTGTAGCTGGTGGTCATTGCATTTGTCTGTACTGTTGGTAATGACTGCATGGTGAAAGTACCCTTTTTACATATGCCCTGAAACCTACCAAGTTGTATTCAGAAAACCTTTAAAACTTAAATTCTTACTACTAGTGTAGGAAGGGTTATTTTTGTAGTCAGTAGTAATATTCTTTTGGATCTTTGTCCATCCTATAGGTATAACTTAACATATCCCTTTAATTAGTAATTTTTTTGACTACTAATGAGATTTTAAGATTTCATGTATTTTTGCCATTCTACTTTAAGTGAATGATCTGGGTAATTTAACCTAGTGATATGTAACAATAGGTAAATGTCTCAATAAGCTTAATGAGTATTAAAATAGTAAAAACTTGAACTGCACTTTTTATCCTGAAGTTTATGGTTAAGCTGATGGTTGATGTGACGTTTCAATGGTGGAGCCTAGGCTCAGCATGCATAAAACCTCAAAACCAAAGGGGGAAAAGACAGAGATTGAGATGCTGGTTTGACATAGGGTCCTTACCTTATCACAGGTAATTCAACAGGCATTGCATCGCCCCCCCAGCTCGGCTGCTCAGTACCTCCAGCAGATGTACGCGGCTCAGCAACAGCACTTGATGCTGCACACGGCTGCTCTTCAGCAGCAGCATCTCAGCAGCTCCCAGCTCCAGAGCCTCGCTGCTGTCCAGGTGAGAACACAGCGGGCAGTGTGTCAGAGAGTCACAGCTGGAAGTACATAGGCAGGTGTCCTGTCAGCGTTCTTCACGTCTGTGATTGTTTCCCTAGAGGGGAGGAGAATGGATAGATTTTGTATGTTGTCTTGTTGTTCTTATCCAAGTTAGATAAATGTTCTGTATATGGTGTACTTTTGTCTCTGAAATTTTAGGGACAACATTGAATACTTAACGTTACATGAATTACATTTTTTTTTAAATCCAAAAGTAAGCTAGTTTTTTTTTGTGTGTGTCTGTAGTTTATATTCATTAAAGAATATCAAGTGGAATAAAAGTACAAGAGGAAAATGAAATCAGTCCTATCAGTAACTTAATTTTATCATTAAATGTTTGTGTCTTAAAAACATTTTCGCAATTTAAACTTTTTGTGAGATTTAGTTGTTAATCTTAAATCTCAACAAAAAATAATCTTAATTTGCAGAACCTGAAAAAAGATGTTTTTCTGATCGTAGGTATTTTGCTTCTTTTCAATAGTGTACTTTTGATTTTTTTTTCTTTTTTCAAAGACAGTGTCTTCTTACTTATGTAGCCCAGGCTGGCCTCATTCTCATGGAAATCCACTTGCTTCTGCCTCCCAAATGCCGATATTAGAGATGTGTACCACTATGCTAGGCTTCTACAGTAGATTTTTTTTGTTATTGTTTTGTTTTATCTTTTTGAGACATGGTTTCTCTGTGTAGCCCTGGCTGTCCTGGAACTCACTCTAGACCAGTCTGACCTCAAACTCACAGAAATCCATCTGCCTGCCTCTGCCTCCAGAGTGCTGGGATTAAAGGCGTGCACCACCATCAACTGGCTTCAGTAGTAGAATTTAGAATACTGTTTTGAATAATACTTATGTATATGATTTAAGAAAATTGAAACCCATTGACTTGCTATAGCTTGAGTTTCTTTTTCTTTCCTTTTCTTTTTTTTTGAGGCAGGGTTTCTCTGTGTAGCCCTGGCTGGCCTGGAACTAGGGGATCTGCCTGCTTCTTCCTCCCGAGTGCTGGGAATGAAGGCGTGCATCACAACTACCTGTTTTTATTTCCTTTTTAAATAAATTATTAGCGGTTTTGGTTTGTTTGAGATCCCTATGAGTGTGTGATTATATGTATTTAAATGTGCTCATGTGGAAGCCAGAGCAGGGTGCCAGGTGTCTTTAGTTTTCTTTCTATAGATCTCCTATCTGTTTGCCTTGAAACAGGTCTCAGGAACCAGAAGGAGTGTAAAGCCATGTCTGGCTTTTTATGTGAATGCTAGGGATTCAAACTCAGTGTCCTGGGGCTTACAGAGCAAGTGTTCTTACCCTCAGAGCCATCTCTGCAACTCTTAGTTTCTTTTTCATGATGGAGTAGGAACTCAACTTCTTTTTTTTTTTTTTTGGTTTTTCGAGACAGGGTTTCTCTGTAGCTTTGGTGCCTGTCCCGGAACTAGCTCTTGTAGACCAGACTGGCCTCGAACTCCCAGAGATCCGCCTGCCTCTGCCTCCCAAGTGCTGGGATTAAAGGCGTGCGCCACCACCGCCCGGCCAACTTCTTTTTTTTTTTTAAATTTATTAACTTTATTTTATGTGCATTGGTACAAAAGTGTTGGACCCCCAGAACTGGAGTTACAGACAGTTGTGAGCTGCCATGTGGGTGCTGGGAATTGAACCTGCGTCCTTTGGAAGAGTGGCCAGAGCTCCTAACCCCTAAGCTGTCTCTCTAGCCCCGGAACTCAACTTTTAAAGATAACATAGAATGAAATTGATGATGAGTGTTCTTACAGTCTGGAGAATGATCTACTATAGTCTTATTTTTTTGTTTTGTTTTGGTTTTTGAGACAGGGTTTCTCTGTGTAGCATTGGCTGTCCTGGTGAATTTACTCTGTAGACCAGGCTGGCCCCAAACCCAGAGCTTCACCTGCCTCTGCCTCCCGACTGCTGGGATTAAAGGTGTGCCCTACCACCACCTGGCTTATTTTATGTTTTGAATGAATGAGTTTGTTAAGTAGATAGTAAGCGAAAGTAAAGTATAGATAAATAGGTAGAAATAAAAACATCAAATTAGGTGCTCAAAATAGCCAGCAAAGCAAGCCCCACTGAGGCTGTCAGTTGGAGTTCCTAATGGAACGCCCTGGGTTAAGAAGAGTATCCCGTCAGGTAAGACTGCCAAGTACCAACACAAATAACAGAGCAGAAAAGTAATATCAGATCAGGGATTTGCAAAACCAGCAAAAACCCATCCAACTAGCTGAAGTTCCCAGTGGACATGGCCAGTTGGAGCAGAGTATCCTGTTGGGTGAGGCTTCCAAGTAAAAGAATGCATAGTAATGTATAAAGATAGCGTCATCAAATTGGTACTTACAGACTCCAACAAAAAACAGCAAAGAAAGAGTCATCTAGAGTTTTCTCTGTGTGTTTGAGCTCCACCTACACCCTTTCCCCTATGACCAAACTTCCAGCTTTTCTTTCCCTTTTATTTTAATATTTACATATTTAAGTATTTTATTATTTATTTATTTTTAAAATATTTATTTATTTACTTATTATGTATACAGTGTTCTGTCTGTGTGTATGCCTGCAGGCCAGAAGAGGGCACCAGACCTCATTACAGATGGTTGTGAGCCACCATGTGGTTGCCGGGAATTGAATTCAGGTCCTTTGGAAGAGCAAGCAATGCTCTTTACCCTGAGCCATCTCTCCAGCCCCCTGTATTATTTATTTATGTATATGTGTGTGTTTGTATGCTCACCTGTATGCTAGAGCCTGTGGAGGCCAGAAGGGGGCATTGGATTCCCTGGAGCTGCAGGTGACAAGCAGTTGTGAGCCACTGTCCATGAAGCTAGGAATCCAACCCTGCTCCATCTGCAAGAGTAGCTCTCTTAACTATTGAGCCATCTTTCCAGCCCCAGTTTGAGCACTTTTATTTCATGGAATAGACAATAATAATATCTGATGGGAATGGTTTATGTTTTCTTCTCTTGGGCTATTTTGCTTCTTTCTTCCCTTCTATCACAGAGTTTGTGAGGTCCAGCTCTTTTCCAGGCAAGGAGTCTCAGTAGACACTTGACATAATGAAACATGCTTGGGGCTGATGTTTGTAGGGGGCAATCCTACTTCTAGTACTAACTGCTCAGTGAGCTCAGACAACATATGACAATTTACCAACATAGTATACATTATGAGAGTGCAGCTAATAAAGCATGATTAGGGTCTTTGAGATGGCTTAGAGGGTAAAGGCACCTGCTGCTATGCTTGGCAACAGATAGATGTGATGAACTGAGTTTGGTTCCTTGGACCCACATGGTAGAAGTTGTGTTCTGTGAAGCACATGTATGCAGTAACATAAAACCAATCCATACAGAAATGTAGAAGTAAGACCAGTCAGTGTGGCATTTGTTTTCACCTTTGTTTTTTTCTTTTAAGAAAAATGACCAGGGTCAAGCCATGTTGAACATAAAATGATTTGTTTCATAGATACACTTGAGAATTTTTACTGTAGTTTTGTATTATTGTGACTCAAGGAAGAGTTTGTTCCCTCCTCCCCCCAGGAAGTTTTTAGCTTTATGTTTTTACAGACATATTACAATAGTTTTCTTATTCTAGGCAAGCTTGTCCAGTGGAAGGCCAGCTACATCCCCGACAGGAAGTGTCACACAGCAGTCAAGTATGTCCCAGACATCTGTAAGTATCCTAAAATTTCTCCTAGATTTAAAAATTTTAATTATTGTTTTGCAAAAGTAAACTTATTAGTCATGAGGCTGTTGTTTAATTAACGAGTGCCTGGAAATGGGAGTAATAGGTTGGAGATAGAACTTTTGAAAATCTGAGGTTTTAAAAAAAGGCTTATTTTTCCAGGCAGTTGTGGCATATACCTGTAAACCCAAAGCTCTGGAGGCAGAGGCAGGTGGATCTATGTGAATTCACAAGGCCAGGCTGACCTACAGAGTGAATTCCAGGACAGCCAGGGCTACACAGAGAAACCCTGTCTCAAACAACAACAAGCATTTTTTTCTATGACTTTATGTGTGAGGTACTTAGAGAAACTGTGATTCCAAGTGAATAAAAAATTTGTTTTTTGTTTTTCGAGACAGGGTTCCCCTGTGTAACAGTCTTAGCTGTCTTTGAACTAGCTCTTGTAGATCAGGCTGGCCTCGAACTCACAGAGATTTACCTGTCTCTGCTTCCTGAGTGCTGGGATTAAAGGCATGTGCCACTACCTCCTGGCCGTGAATATACTTTTTTTTTTTTAACGCTTAACTTTTTTTATGTTTTCTTTTTTTTATTGATATTTATTGAGCTTTATATTTTTCTCTGCTCCCTTCCCTGCTTCTCCCCTCCTCCCTTAAACCCTTCCCCAAGGTCCCCATGCTCCCAATTTACTTACTAGATCTTGTCTTTTTCTACTTTCTACTTCCCATGTAGATTAGATCTTTGTAAGTCTCTGTTAATATCCTCATTGTTGTCTAAATTCTCTGGAATTGTGGTTTGTAGGCTGGCTTTCTTTGCTTTATGTTTAATAACCACCTATGAGTGAGTACATGTGATAATTGTCTTTCTGTGTCTGAATTACCTCACTCAAAATAATGTTTTCTAGCTCCATCCATTTTCCTGCAAAATTCAAGATGTCATCATTTTTTTCTGCTGTGTAGTACTCCATGTGTAAATGCACCACATTTTCCTTATCCATTCTTTGATCGAGGGGCATTTAGGTTGTTTCCGGGTTCTGGCTACGACAAACAAAGCTGCTATGAACATAGTTGAGCACATGTCCTTGTGGCACGATTGAGCATCCTTTGGATATATACCCAAAAGTGGTATTACTGGGTCTTGAGGAAGGTTGTTTCCTAATTTTCTGAGAAGTCGCCACACTGACATCCAAAGGGGTTGTACCAGCTTGCAATTCCACCAGCAATGCAGAAGTGTTCCCTTTTCCCCACATCCTCTCCAGCATAAGTTGTCATCAGTGTTTTTGATCTTGGCCACGTGAATATACTTTTAAATGTCATAATGATACTTGTCCTAAGATAGATAGCACTGTACCATGGAGTATGCCAAAACTGAATGGCTTGTTGGGTACAAGAAGTATGAAGGGAGAATAGCTGTCTTGTTTGTTTTGTTTATTGTTTTGGTGAGCTAGCCCTCCCACAGGTGATTTGACCAGAAGCATATTACAATGGCTAAGTAGCTTGCAAAACTTGGTTCAACAGTAGAAGAGACAATGTAGTTGGATTTTTCTCTGAATTGTCAGCTCCCAAATAACAACACAGAGACTTATTAATTATGAAAGCTTGACCTTATCTTAGGCTTGTCCCACTAGCTCTTATTGCTTACGTTAACTCATTTTTTAAGTCTTTGTTTTGTTATGTGACTTTTATCTCTCGCCCATTTTGTGTATCTAACTTGTTCTGTAGTGTCTTTAATGCGCCTAGATTCAATTCCTCCTCCCTCTCTCTGCCGGGAAGTACTCCTGTACCTCCTGCCTAGCTATTGGCCATCCAGCTCTTTAATTAAACCAGTCATAGCAATAATGTATCTTTACCCATTGTGCACATATCTCACAACAGAGACAGATGTGGTAACAGAAGTAATAATGAGCAATGAATTATTAGGTGACAGTCTACTCATGCTCTTGGTGATCTCCTTCCCCTCTGACTCCTACAGTCTTTTCTCCCCCTTGTCCATGGGGTTTTCGGGTATAGGCCTCTGCACCTGCTCCCTTCTGCTGCTGGAGAAAGACTCTGATGAAGACTGAACAAGGAGTATAGCAGAATATCATTAGGAATCATTTCATTGCTTCTGTTTTTTTTTTTTTTTAAATCATTTGTGTTTAGTTCTTCCCTAGTAACCAGTCTCTTGTTCCTGGCCATCTAGGCAGTGTGGGGTAGGAGCTCCCTCTTGTGGCATGGACCTCAAGTTAAACCAGACATTGGCTGGCCACTCCCACAAATTCTGAGCACATCTAGCAGGCAGGACAGATTGTTTGTGGAGGGTTTTGTGATGCTGTGATCATATTCCATTTTAATTTTTGAGACAAGGTTTCTAATTAAAACTGAGCTCCCTGCCTGCCTCAGAATGGCTATCCAGCAAGTCCCAGGGATCCTCCTGTCTCTGCCTTCCCAGAGATGAGATTATAGATGTGTGTGTGTTCCACCTTATCAGTTGGTACTGGAACCAACATCCTTGTGCGACAGGCACTTTACTGAATCTCTCCAGCCTGTGTTCAGTACTTTTTAATGCTGATGTGCTGTCAGCCACAGTATTGGGTACCAAAGATACAAGTAAGTAGTCAAAGGCTATTATGGTGGGCATTCTGTTTGACAGGCTGTTTTCTGATGCCTTACTTGTAGTGAGCACATTGGTGATAAACTTGAATCCTTAATATGCCTGAAAATTTCTAATTCATACCTTTTGTAATTATTTTAACAAGGGTGTTGTATTAAAGCACTTTTCAGGAAATTTGAAAATAAGGATGATTGTTTTCAGAATTTTAGTTATTAAGCCTAAAAGTGTAACTTGATCATAGAGTACTTGCCTAGCATGCCAGACTGCAAGGACTGAAAACAGACATCTACTTCATTACAAACAGATATAGAAGTAGCAAGGCTCAGACCTGGGGTAGACAGGGAAAAGGCCAAGGAGCTGTGACACACTGAAAGGACAAAAGTCATCCCCTACTGGCCCTAGCAAGATAGATTATGTGCACCTAACAAAGAATTTCAGATAGCTGCTTTGAGGAAGCTGAAAACTTTAAATACAGAAACCAATTCAGAGATTTCATCAGAGATAGTTAACAGATTAAAATTTAAAACAAAAAAAACAACACAAGTCCTGGAACTGAAAAATACATTGAAGAAGAATGAAAGAAAAAAACGAACCCAACATCAAGAGTAAAACTAACCAAGGAAAACAAGAATCTCTGGACTTCAAAGACAGATAACTTGAAAATGCAGCCTGGGTTATAGCCTGTGATCTCCAGGAACACCTTAGCCCCAGACTGGAACCTTCTGATTGTTGTGGCTGATGCAGCACTAACCCCTGTAGCCCCCACCTCTGCTCCTGAGGTTTGTATGCAATTCAAGTCTTTGCAGGCAACTAAATTTCAGTTCATATCACAGAGTTTATGAATCCTATCTAGGGCAAGGGCAGGTTGAAAGATTTAGTCAGTGGGTACTAGTCTAGAATTAGGGTTTTTAGGGGTCGGAGAGTCTGTCTGGGGCTGGAAAGGGGTAACCCAGGTGATGTAAAGGGTTTCTCCTCTTCAGCAGTGTCTTTTCTTACTGTGCCATGACCGTCTCCTGTGTGTCACACCTGGGGCTCATGAGGGGAGTTTCATGTACAGATACTTCAGGTTGACGTTTCCCTGATAGAATATTGCTGAAGAGCCCTGCTTCACCGTTTTATTCCATCAAATGCTAATGTATGAGATTATATTAGGGGACTATGCAGGGAGTGTGAATTTGGACTTTATACCCACACATGGTAAACCCCTGAAATTTTGAATCTCTAAGATGCCTCCCTCCACTCTTCCAGTATATCAGGACAGGTGTAACAACTTCCTAGCTGCTTCTCAGCATACATGAGTGTAACTTTTCACATATTGATCAGCCTTTCTCAGAATCTTGTTTCAAAATAGAGATTTCACTTCCAGCTTTACCGTATAATAGACCAACGTGGACATTCCATCTTTGTAGGCTTAATAAACCTAGAGGTGCGTTGGTGTCATTTGTTGCTACATGTCTGAGTCTGCATTTGTGACTGACCCTGGACACTGACCTTCCCTGCTCCTACATGTCTGGGTCTGCATTTGTGACTGACCCTGGACACTGACCTTCCCTGCTCCCTGTGCATTTCAACTGCACTTCCTGAATCAGAAGTCTAGTAAGCTATTTCATAATTTTGTTCTCTACTTTGTTCCACAAAAATGATTTAAGGTGAGGTTGAATTATGTTATTCTCTGAAATTGTTTAAGAATGGGTGGTACATGAACAGAAATGACTTGGAAAGACGAGAAAGGATGTATGTATCTCTCTTTTCCCTGTTTCTCCACCTACCTCTTTCCATTTCCCCTTCACAGATCCAAGCAAGTTGACAGTTTCTAATGTATTTTCCAGGGATCTGTTAGTATATGCACTTTCTATTTTTGAGCTAGGATCTTGTTATGTAGCTCATGCTGGCCAGGAACTTGAAGTGCAGCTTAGTTCAGACTCACCATGAACTAGTAGGTCTCCTGCCTCAGCCTTTCTAGCTCTGCATTACAAGCTTGTGTCACCCATTCAGCGACATACTAATTTTATTTATTTATTTATTTAGCCCAGATCTCATGTTCCCCAGGTTGACCTGTCACTTAATCATCAGTAGCCCAGGCCGGCTGTTAATCCACAAGCCTCCTGCCTTAGCCTCTTGAGTGCTGGATTACATGAGGCATAAATCACTACCTCTGCTTGCTAACTTGCTAAGTATCCCTCCCTCCCTCCCTCCCTCCCTCCTCCTCCTCCTCCTCCTCCTCCTCCTCCTCCTCCTCTCTCTTCTTTCTTTCTTTCTTTCTTTCTTTCTTTCTTTCTTTCTTTCTTTCTGCTTTTTGAGACAAGGTCTCTCTGTAATAGCTCTGGCTGTCCTGGAACTTGCTTTGTAGACTAGGCTGGCCTCGAACTCACAAAGATCTGCTTGCCTCTGCTTCCTGAGTGCTGGTATTAAAGACATGTGCAACCACTGCCTGGCTTCTAATTAATTCTTTTTTTTTTTTTGGATTTTTCGAGACAGTGTTTCTCCATAGCTTTTGGTTCCTGTCCTGGAACTAGCTCTTCTAGACTAGGCTGGCCTCGAACTCACAGAGATTCGCCTGCCTCTGCCTCCCGAGTGCTGGGATTAAAGGCGTGAGCCACCACCGCCCGGCTCTAATTAATTCTTAAACATGACTTTAAACTTGAAAATGTTGATACATTAATTTCATAGCCAATATTCAGGATTTTTCCATCTGTTTAACAGATAGCAATTATATTTTCTTGTTTTCAGAACCTTTAAGTTAAAACATTACAGTAATTATACGTTACCCACATGTTTTTCATATATAAATGAATTATTTGTGTTTTAATTTTTGTTCACTTCAGAAGCTCCTCAAAATATGACAGTGTGACAAAACAATGTATTACAATTAGAACTTTAAAGTCACTCTTTGTAATATAAAGTAATTGGACATTATCCCTAGTTTTGGGGGAGATAGTAGTAAAGCCATTTTTAAGTTTCTAGAAATCTTCCTGAAATGTGGATGTGTTTGAAAGTTGTTCCAGTTAGCAAGTAGTCTGTGCTGTGTGTTTGCATGCAGTCTGTGTTTGTATGCAAATTGATGCCCAAAATGAAGGGCTCTGTCGAAGATCAAAGCCTATGCTTGAGGTTTCTACCATTGATTGTCTTGCTTTCAGCTTCCTGAAGTTGAGAATATGGAGGCATTACCTGTTACGTTTTCTTCCTTAGATCAACCTCTCCACTTCTCCTACACCTGCTCAGTTGATGAGTCGCTCCCAGGCTTCCAGTTCCACCAGTGGCAGTATTACCCAACAGACTATGTTACTAGGGAGTACCTCTCCTACCTTGACTGCCAGCCAAGCTCAAATGTATCTCCGAGCTCAGATGGTAAGATTTAAGATACCAGCTCTTCAGTATCTGAGGACTGGAGAGTTCCAATGCTTTTGGATTTGATGCAATAAGGCATTTTTAATACTTAAGCAGTATTTATCAAGTGAGTGAGTGTGTGTGTGTGTGCATGCATGTGTGTATGCTCAGCCTTTGAACACTTATAAATATGCATAAAAGTTTCACTGTGAATTAATAGGTCTTCTTGGTAATAATATTTTTTAATACTGGTACTGATTTTAAAACCTTTTTTTATATTTTGAGATCTCTACAATTGAAGAGCTTTTTATTACTGATGCCATCTTACAGTTTTATTATTTACAGTGTTATATAAATCAATTATTCTGCTGACATTGATGATTTGAGGAAATAGTTAGAAATACTAAAAACTTAGTTTTCAATGATAAGTAAGAATTTATGTCCAAGGACCTTCTGAAATCTGGATTGGAGTTCTGATAGTTTTTCAGATAATTCATAGCTTTGGTTATTACAGTCTCAAATTCTGTAAGGTTGCATTCTTATGTTTACTTCAGCTTTTATTTTTATTAATATAGGAATGTTAATTGATAATTTTATAATTAGATACCTACTGATTTCCTGATTTTATTGTTGACATTTTTAAAGACATGTAGACATTGGCTGATGTAATTTTATACAGTTAAACAAATGTTTTAATATATATCTTTTTATTTATATAAGATATATATACATATATATATATATATATATATATGAACCTAATTAGTTAGTTAGTTAATTTTGCAGTATCAGGGATTGAAACCAGGGCATCATGATGATTAGACAAGCATCTTATCAATACTCACCATCTTCGGCCTCCTTAGTATGCAGATTTTGACCAATGAACTGATTATATATCTGATCCCTATTCATTGAAAATTGGAAAGCAAGTTTTCAGTCTTATTTTTGGCAGGAAGTGATGATGTGACACGTTTATTCACAAATTGTAAATGTCACCTCTTCTGGATTACTTTTTCTCATGAAATTGTCTTTAATAATATGATTTGAACCATTTGAAATATTTTTGTTTTGTTTTGATGATTTTGACCTTTAAAATGGGCAATTCATATGACTCAAACAAGAAAATCTTCGTTTTTGGGTGGAGTGCTTTTAGGCTGGTTGCATGCACCAAAAGTAAGAAAATTTGTTGGTGAATTTACGTAGATTCAGTAAGTAAATGAGAGAAGAATTCAAATGTAAAAGGGTTTAGAGGAAAATAAGGGGTTCAGGAAATGAGGGGGGGTGGTAAATAGGAGCAGGGGATAGTGAATATGACGGCCATGTATGTGCATGAAAATCACAGTGCAACCCAGTATTGTATTTAATACATACTGTAAATGTTCAAGGTTAGAAAAGGTCCCTAATTGATTATTTTAGTTTAAATAGCAGGAAGGTAGCAAGTACTTCTTGAAATGACTTTAAAAATAGTGTGTCTCCACACTTTAAAGCCCATCATTATTTACTAAATCCAGTTAGATTGAGTAGATTGTATTGTCTTAGAAATTAATGGTACTTGTTTAATATTAAAAGTTTGAAAACAAGATGGTGATGTATGGATTGTTTTTCTCTTTTGTTGTTTTGGGATGAAGGCCTTTGGTTGCTCCTCTGTTTTAACATTCGAGCATTTATATTTAGAACAAATCGCCCTTTACAAACAGGGTTAACATCAAGAGCAACCTTACTTGTCCTACGATCGGTCCTTTGTAGCTGAGAAACATCGTAGTATGTGGCACTGTTAATGTGTGGACTGAAGAGACTTTTTGGTGTTTCTTTGCCTGTTTCTTACCAAAATTAATCTGTATCCTAGTGCAGTTTTATTTTCATTTCCATCTTAGGAATCCTGAGGTAGTAGTTTTTATTTGGGACAGAATTTGGTTTGAGGATCTCATCTCACCAAAACACATTCTTTTCTTTGAGTAGTTTTCCCCTACTCTCAGAATTGTGAGCGATTTCAAAGCTGTTGGTGACTTTTTGAGCTCTGTGATCACAACTTTGTTGTCGTGTGAAGCCTTTTGCTTAGGAGGTAGTCCTGACTGCACTGTCTCTCTGTCACAAAGTTCAGTCTCTTGCCTGCTTGCTACACACTGTGTGTGGGACATGTTCTTTAGTCTTAGGGTGTTATTTTTGGTTTTCTGTCTGTACAGCTGATTTTCACACCCGCTACCACTGTGGCTGCTGTGCAGTCTGACATTCCTGTTGTCTCGTCGTCATCGTCACCCTCCTGTCAGTCTGCAGCTGCTCAGGTGAGATTGTGTATCACAGTGTGGTACTGGAGGTCTGGGTCTCTCTCAGTGGAAAGGCGGTCACTGCGTTCGTGTTTCAGCTCCTCTGCTTCAGAGTGCATTGCCATGGCTTTCAGGTGAAGTTCATAAAGCACTGAGAGCTCCAAGAGCATGCTTGTTTTGTAGAAATGACATATAATCAAACAGATTTAGATTATTAGGTGTTGATTCATCAAGATTAACACGAGTTTTATTATTGACACAGTATTTTTAGTTTTGCTGTCTACCAGATTTCTTTCTTACATGAGGTATATTCTTTTTTGTAGATTTCCTTTGCAAGTAGTTACATAACAGATATGTCAAAGTAGATGATAATTTTAAGTTTAAAAATGAGTTAAATCAGGCAAATTTGAAGTTAAAAACATAAGTAGAGTATTACTTTATTTGGTACTATGGAAAAAAATGAAACTTCTCTCTTATTCAAAAAGTAAACTAAAAGTAGTATGTAGACCTAAAGGTAAAAATAAAAAATTTAATCTTCCAGGAGAAAGAAGGATAGCATCTTTGCAAGTCTAGGGTGGGCAAGACTTCTTAGGGCACAAAAAAGATTAACTAGAAACAAAAATAAGTGATAAATTGGACTTAAACTAAAAATTATTCTTTAAAGAGACATTACAAAATGAGTATCTAGGATACAAGCTGAGGGAAACTATTCTCAATATATGTATCTGACCAATGATTGTACCTAGAATATAAAAAATGCTTATAGTTTAGTAATAGATCATGATATCAGTTAAAAATGGAAACAATATTTGAAGAGATAGTTTACACAAAACTCTAACTATATAGGCCAGGTATGGTGATGCATGCCTTTAATCCTGGCACTTAGGAGGCAGAGGTAATAGATCTCTGTGAGTTTGCAGCCAGCCTGGTCTATGTAGTGAGTTTCAGGACAGTCAGAAGTACAAACAAACAAACAAAAAGACAAAAAGACAGTATATAAAAGGCCAATGAGCACAAGATAAAAATGTCCAACATCATATATCATAGTGATCATCGTCATACATCCATCTGGGTGGCTGAGATGAAGACTGACACTGTACAATAGTTTTTAATGGCTAAGTATTCTAATGCTGAATGTACAAACAGATGGTGTTATAGTCATCAGTGGAATAGTGCTCAGAGGGGAAAAGAGCAAACCACTAGTATATCTCATAAGCACGGCTAGCAAATGAAACTAGACACAATAAGTATGTCCTCTGTGATTCTGTAGTTTTAAAATTCCAGAATCAGAAAAACCCTCCATAGTGAAAAAATTAGGTTAATAGAGGTAGGAAAAATTGACTAGGAGGGATGTTCAGTGTGATGGTTGGATGTTCAGTGTGTTGGTTCCATACCTTTTTCTTTTTTTGTTTGTTTGTTTTGTTTTTGACTTTTTTCGAGACAGGGTTTGCTGCAGCTTTGGAGCCTGTTTTGGAACTCACTTTGTAGACCAGGCTGGCCTTGAACTCACAGAAATCTGCCTGCCTCTGCCTCCCAAGTGCTGGGATTAAAGGCATGTGCCATCACTGCTGGCTCTGATTCCATAACTTTTGACCTACTGTCAAAACTTATAGAATAGTTGCATCTTATTGCAAGTCATATCTCAGTAAATGTCATAATGATCATTTAGATTGAATAAACTTTAAGTTAAAATAATTGAATAGACTGTTGCTTTATGTGGTACTATTTTGTTGTTTTTGTAGTGAATGTTTATGACAGATATTCACTCAGATGTTGGTCATCTTTGGCCTTTTATTTACTTACACATTTTAAAATAGCTTTTGTTCATTTGGGTATATTTTTTTTTAAATGTGTCTTTATTTATTTGTTATGTATACAATAGTCTATCTGTATGCCTGCAGGCCAGAAGAGGGCACCAGACCTTATTACAAATGGTTGTGAGCCACCATGTGGTTGCTGGGAATTGAACTCAGGACTTTGGCAGAGCAGGCAATGCTCTTAACCACTGAGCCATCTCTCCAGCCCCTCATTTGGGTATATTTTTAACTTTCTTTTTTAAGAATAGGTTTTGGTACTAGCCTTGGATGGCCTAGTACTTGATATTATACCCCAGGTCTTCAATTTGAGACAATATTCTTGTGTCAGCTTCTCAGTGCTAGGATCACAGGCATGAGTCACCCTGTGTAACAGGTGGTCCTGCTTGTTGGGGTTTCTGTCCTGCCCAGTTCCCACAGTCATTAGGTCCCAAAGAAAATCACACAGATGTCTACATAAGTTATAAATTGCCCATTAGCTCAGGCTTCGTATTAGCTCTTATAACATATATTAGCCCATTATTCTTATCTATGTTAGCCACATGGCTCAGTACCTTTTTCAGCGGGGCAGGTCGCATCTTCCTTCTTCCTTGTCTGGGCAGGATTGCAGAGATAGCTTCCTTCTTCCCAGAATTGTCCTGTTCTTATTGCCCTGCCTCTACTTCCTGTCTGGTTGTCTTGCCTATACTTCCCGCCTCGCTACTGGCCAATCAGTGTTTATTTAAAACATAATTGACAGAATACAGAATTGTCCCTCACTATGTGTCAGCTTCCTCAGTGCTGGGATTACAGGCATGACTCACCATGCCTGGTGGATTTTATTTCTCGTTTCATACTCCGGCTTTCTGGTAAATGTAAGAAATGAGATAGTAACTGGGCGGTGGTGGCGCACGCCTTTAATCCTAGCTCTTGGGAGGCAGAGGCAGGCAGATCTCTGAGTTCAAGTCCAGCCTGGTCTACAAAGTGAGTTCCAGGACAGCCAGAACTACACAGAGAAATCCTGTCTTGAAATGCCAAATAACAACAATAAGAAGTAAATGAGATAGTAATAATTAATATTCTTTGATTTTTTTAATAGAACTTCTATGTATTGATACATTTAATAATAAAGACTAATTTTCATGTATTAGTTATAAAGATTGTAGCTGAGTAAACACAGAGTTTTCTTTTTTTTTTTTAACTTTTTTTTTTATTGAGAAAAGGAGAAAAAAAAACAAACCAAGTTTCCACCTCCTCCCAGCCTCCCATTTCCCTCCCCCTCCTCCCACCCTTCTCCCCCTCCTCCCACCCTTCTCCTCCTCCCCCCACTCCTCTCCCCCTCCCTCTCCAGTCCAAAGAGCAGTCAGGGTTCCCTGCCCTGTGGTAAGTCCTAGGTCCTCCCCCCTCCGTCCATTTCTAGGAAGGTGAACATCCAAACTGGCTAGGCTCCCACAAAGCCAGCACATTACGTAGGATCAAAACCCCCTGCCATTGTCCTTGGCGTCTCATCAGCCCTCATTGTTCGCCATGCTCAGAGAGTCCAGTTTTATCCCATGCTTTTTCAGTCACAGTCCAGCTGGCCTTGGTGAGCTCCCAACACAGAGTTTTCTTAACTTGCTCCCTGGCTCTTTACAGTTACTTAACAGGGTCTGCTAGATAGTGCTCACTAAATGCTAATTTTAAGATGATCCTTGCTCAGCTCCAATTGCTTTACTTTATATTGGAAATGATAGCTCTCAGCTGTTACAAGTGACAAGTGAGGCAATCAGAAGCTTCTCATCACAGTGCTGCCACATAATGAAATATCTTATCTACTGACTACTGTTATTATTTGACATTGTGTGAAGACAAATCACACCTGTGATTCTTAGCTTTCAAGAAGCTAGAAATGAAGAGATAATAAATAACCATTTAAATGATTGATAGTTTCCATGATAAACCAACCAGCTGCTTAGGAGATAATGTTTCTTTTTAATATGGTACTCCATTTTCTTACTGTTTCTCATGACGAAAACATTCTTATGAGTCTTTAATGCAGCTAATGTAGTTTGTGAATTGGTCTTCTGGTGACATAGGATGTGACCTGTCCAAGGTCTGTGGCTGTGTGGGTCTGACTTGGTTAAAGCTTTCAGGTGACTGAAGGGATCTCTCTGTGAACACTGATTTTGTGTGACAGTGAATGAGGCTGGCAGTGATAGGCGATGCTGACCAACAGAGACACAACTTCAGGTTCAGGACTATTGGGTATGAATGTTTTTTTTTTTGTGTGTGTGTTTCAAGACAGGGTTTCTCTGTGCAGCCCTGGCTGTCCTGGAACTCACTAAATAGATAGAACAGGTCGGCCTTGAAATCCAAGATCTACCTGCCTCTCTCTGCCTTCCGAGTGCCGTGACTAAAGGAGTGTGCCACTATGGCCCTTTTTTATTTTCTTTTTTACTTTTCTACTTTAAAAAAAATTAAGTATGTAGTTTAAAAATTGTGTTCTTTAAAATTAAGAGTATCAGATTTGTAGTTTAATGTTATTATTTAAACTACAAAAGTCACTATATCAATTCCTTTTTCCTCAGTAAAAATGTTTTTTTTTTTTTTAAGACAATCTTATTGTATACTTCTGGCTGACCTGGAAAACTATATATAGATCAGGATGACCTTGAATTCACAGAAATCTGTCTGCTTCCACATCCAGAGTGCTGGGATTAAAGGTGTGTGCCACCATGACTGGCACAAAAAGGATGTTTACAGAAGAATAAGATCCTGCTTATCAAAGGGCAACCTAGGGAATGCTGATTTGAGAAGTCAGCTCAGCACAGCACTACCCACCCCTCCAGTCCCCTCTTCTGCAGTGAGAATGCTGCAGTAATATCTGCAGTGGTTGATTTCAGTTAAACGATTCCGAGAATTATTTTGGTAGTGATATATTCATTATATATCATAGGATGTTAGAGTGAAGTTAGCAAAAATACCTCATGCATGATGTCAAAGTTTCTTATAGAAATCATAGGCTTGTTTTAGGGGAAATGAAAATTAAGGCTAGGATGCCCATTACTCCTCTTCTGGGGATGGATTCTCTCTCCCCAGAAAGGTACTGTCCTGGAACATGTGGTCTTTCCAGTAGTGAGTCAGTGTTACTTCTGGTGCTGCAGTTTCTACAGTGTAAGTTATTTACTTTAAGTTAGTATTTGAGTGAAGATGGCAGCAGGTTATCTAAAGTCTACAAGCTCCTATAGAACATAACATCATACTTAACTGTGGAGGCATGAACATTGCCTTTCAGGATTCCAGGAAGCAGTGTGGTGTGTAGGGATTAGGGGTCATTGTGTCAGATCTTCATTTACTGTTCAGATGCTATTCATCCTGAAGGAGCCATTCAAGTTTTTTGGCATATTTGTTCTCAGTTATCATTATTATATGGTCTACTGCATGAATCATTTGTGGAAAATGCTATATTCTCTATTATGTAGCTCTTCCTGGGTGAATTTATTGTTTTACTTACTTGTTTATTTACTTACGTATTTTAGAGTCAGGTTTTGCTGTATGGCCAAGACTGTACTGGAATTAACTATGGTTCTTAGACTGGCTTTGAATTTGTGTTCCTCCTGCTTCTGCCTCCTTGTGCTGTGATAATAGGCCTGTGCTACTATCACTATACTGATAATAGTTTTTGTTTTTTCTTTTGTCATACCAGACATGGATCCCAGGGCCTCATACATATTAGGCCCACCTAGCTACATCTCTGTCCTTCCTGAGATATTTTAATGTGCCTCCACCAAGATATTTAATGAAGTTTGTTAGTAAATATGAACAAATTGTAGTGTTAGCATAAAAGCCATAAGTGGAACTAAATAACCTTTCAAATATCTATATGATGTGATTTCAAAATCAGTTGTAATAAGAGAATATCCCTGACTTAGGAAGTTCCCAGGTTTTGTAGTTCTGAATTGCTAGGGGTGCAAAAGTCAATGCTGGAGGCTCTGGCCCTATTAGCTGAGTCTCCTCTCACCATTTCACAAATGTGTATGTTGGTCATGTACAGACAAGCTAGACATTGTGCTGTAGGCCAGTCTCACTCAGATTCCATGGAAACATCCCGGAGTGAAAGGGCAAATTCTTCACAAAGAACTCCAGGAAGCTCTTCTGAGAGAGCCAAGCAGATTATTGAACTGCTAATAATGGCTTGAGAAAGAAAGTTCAAGCAAAGCCAGAACAAAAGGCACCTAATGAAGGAAGTATATGGTGTATTTATAGGACAGTGAGAGCAGTTTGGCAGTTGTATAAGATTGTAGACTGGAGAAGAGAAAGTGGATTCATAGTGGGTTGGGCCTACATTGTTGACTTTGAGTGGCAACCCAAGGAATACAGTACATTTTACTTTCTGTATGAGACTTTAAAACCAATGGTATTTGATACATATTGACACAGTAGGAACTATGGGAGGGAAATCAGAGAGGATGCTCCATATGTTCTCACTTAGAGGGGTTTCCAGTGATTGTTGTATTAGTTTTTTTGCTCTGACAACCTAGGAGAAACAATTTAAAAAAAATAAAAGAAATTTATTTTGGCCTGTAGTTTTGGTTCATGGTGGGCTGGTGCTGTTGTTTTCTGGGGCGTAGAGGCAGAGTGTCATGGCAGGGAGTGTGTGTTAGAGCTAATTTGCTTACTCCTTGGCAGCCAGGCAGAGAGAGTGACAGGAAGGGATCAGGGCCCCAATTCTCCCTCAAAGATATCCCCTTAGTGATCCTCTCTACAGCCACTCCCTTCTTCTGTTGCTCCAGAGCCTCCTAACAGTCTATTCAGATGTTAAGTCCATTTGCTCACTACTCCCGTGGTAGAGGCAGAGACCTTACCTCCTCCTAGCACTGCTTGTCCTGGGACCATGCCTATTCACATGTATCTTTTTTGAGGTGGAATGGCGAGGAACTTCATTTGCACACATTAACAGTAGCTGTAGAATTGATAGAAACTTGCCTGACGTGACTGTTTATTTACCTTCTGTTGATACTATTTTGGCATTTGGACCGGGAATAGAGCCTTGAGCACCAACTAAGAAGTTAGACCTCAGCAGCTTGTCATTCATTAGCTTTGTCTAGATGGAGCCTCCTTTGACCCTCCGAGACCATTGCTAGTACTAAGTGTATTTAGCAAGAAGCTACTGTTGGTGAGGCATTTTCTGCCTTGCTCTTTGGAGAGGTATAAGCTCAGGTGAGCTGAATTTGGATAATCCTGTCAGTTTACAGTGTTTACCCATTTCAGAGCTCTGTTCTCAAAGACATTGAGTGGTCAGTAACAGAATTTCAGTTTAAGAAGCTTTCGGAAAATGCTCTCATGGTATCACACCGGAGCAGATGCTTAGATAAGTCAGTTGTCTTACAGTACTCCCTCTAACGCATTTAAAACTGGTCACTTTCCATGAAGTGCATGGCAGAGCCGTTTCTTCGTATTTATACTGCATTTGCTGTCAGCCCCTCCCCTTATTCCCCTTAATATTGGTTTGGTTTTCATTTAGTTCTTCCTGGTCTTCTTGTCCTGCTCTTTCACTCACAACTGTCTTATACCCACCCTCTATGTCTTTTCCAGCCTGCCACATAGTAGTTAAGACACGCTCATGTGGAGCGACCTTTCTGTAAGGGTTTCCTTAAAGATTATTGGTTGTCTCAGGAGTGTGGACCTCTTTGTGTAGGAGGCACAATATTAATTACTGTCATTATTGTAATGATTGCTGTATCAGCTAAAGCCATGTTTTCATCTTTATTTTTTGTTATGTGGTTCTTAGGTTCAGAATTTAACATTACGCAGCCAGAAGTTGGGTGTCTTATCTAGCTCACAGAATGGCCCACCAAAAAGCACTGGTCAAACTCAATCATTGACAATTTGTCATAATAAAACAACAGTGACCAGTTCTAAAATCAGCCAACGAGACCCTTCTCCAGAGAGCAAGAAGGGAGGAAGCCCAAGCCTGGAATCTCGAAGCACAGCGGTCACTCGGACTTCAAGCATTCACCAGTTAATAGCACCAGGTGGGATGAATGTTCGTCAAAAATAGTTGCCTTATTTGTTTTCTTATCAGACAGCAAAACAAAGGATGCTTGCTACTTGAATAAGAGTAACAATTTTAAAACATTTTTAAGTGAGAATTTTTGTCAGCTAAAGAAGATCTCACTAAGTAGTTTGAAAAAATTTAGAAAACCTAGTAATTGAAACAAGTTATACAGCAAAACAATGGTCTTCCATTGTTGTTACTTGGCACTTAATGTCTTTATGATGTGTTGCTCTCTTTATATTAATTAAATCTTTTAGCTTTTAAAAAAGAATTGTCTTTATTTAGTATGCTTTAGTGGTACATATTTTTAAGCTTTTAGTAAAAAGTAAATGCATCTTAATTAAGTCATTAGTGGAAATTTGTTACTAAAACAGATTGGGCAAATAAAGAAATTATTTTCCTAACTTCTCATCCACCACTACTAGTGTGGGATGCCATCTGAGGGAAAGCTGTCAAGGAAGCAGTCCTTTTCATTCTTATTCTGCCATGCGGATCTCTTTCCTGCAGGTAATCCTGCTTCATGGTTCCTCAACCAGAGTGAGCTTTCTGACCCTTGTTCTATACTATTGAAGTCTACTCTCCCCCTAGACTGATTGCTCTGTGTGTTTGGTACTGAGAATTGAGTCTAGTGCCTCCCACATATGGCACACAGCGCTCTAACATGGAGTTACAGCCCTTTAACTTCTTATGTTTCTTCTATTAGGATTGTCCATGTTCTTAGCTCTACAAACTCTCAAAATCTTAGCATTGTCTGATTCCTCTAAGTTGAAATGTCTCTTTCCTTTGACCTGTTTCAACTGTAGTGCTTTCTGAACCCAGACCTCTTTACTGGACAGTGAGCCCCTTGCGGGTGTTCTTAGTAACGGCTGTGATAGGCCTGGTTTTCAGCACTTTGTTGTATCTTTTCACCTTTTCATAGTAATAGCACGAAGGTTTGTCTTCTGTTCGTTTGCCTGTGATAGGTATGTGGGTATATTTGGACTAATCACCCAGTTTCCACACTGACGCATTGGAAATTATCAGTCATTCCCCTTAGCATTATTTAGCTACCACCATGCTTAGGATTGTTGTGAATGAATCTTAGAGAAGTGAGTGCTATAAACTTTGCTAGTAAATCCATTCATGCTATACTTAGATATTGTTTCTCTCTCTGTAGTAAATGTCTATACCCTGTTGTGTGGTCTGGTCTGTGTTGTCTCTGGTCAGATGACTGTGCTTTTGCACAGCATTGCCCAGAGCATTCTCAGCCTCACAGCAGCACCAGGGCTCGAGGTGTGTGGAGCAGCAGTGCCTGCTGTGCCTGAGCACGGGTCAGAGGGCAGGGTCCAGTGAGACCCGTCTTCTTATTCTTTCCTTAGCTAGACCTAGGCCAGCAGTCATTTTAAATAGAGAAGAAAACAGACCCTCTATTTGTATTATTTATATCCTAATATGGTTGTCTAATAGTTACTGTAGTGGAGATGGTTACTGTTTTCTTGCATGTAATTTTAGGGTCTAAAAATAACCTGATTTTCTTGACCATTTCTCCTTGAGGATGGAAGCTTTCATGTGTTAGCAATTCTGTTTATTTATTTAGAAGACAGTAGACCAGACTGGCCTTGAACTCATGACAACTTTCCTGCCTCAGCCTCCTACTGTGCCTGATTGATAATTTTTTTTGTCCCTCTGAAACAGGGTCTCTCTGTATAGTCCTAGCTGTCCTAGAACTCCCTCCCTAGACCAGGCTGGCCTCAAACTCATAGAGATCTGCCTTTCTCTTCCTCCCAAGTGCTGGGATTGAAGGAATGTGTTACCACACTTGACAATAATTCTGTTTTAATATATAAAGGCGAGAATTCACCTTTAACCACATCCCTAGAAATCAGGAAACTATGCAGTTTTTAGAGGGCTTTTTCCCCCTTTTTTCTTTTCTTTAGAAATTAATTCAACATGCAGTGAAAAAAATCCTCTAGTGGTTTGGTCTGGCTGCCACCAAGAAATGTCATAACCTTGGAAGTCTCAGGCCAAGTCTGGCCACTCCCAGTTTCTGATGAGGACTGTCTTTTTACCTTGCCACTTGCCACTTTCTTTTTTTTTTTTAATATACATATTTATTTATTACATATACAATATACCTCTATGCCAGAAGAGGGCACCAGACCTCATTACAGATAGTTATGAGCCATTATGTGGTTGCTGGGAACTGAACTGAGGACCTCTGGAAGAACAGCCAGTGTTCTTAACCTCTGAGCCATCTCTCCAGCCCCCTACTTGCCACTTTCTTTTTGTCCTCACTTGGACTTCCCTGTGTGTGCACAGTGAGGGAGGAGAGCTCTGATAACTTCTTTAAAAACATTGTTTTGGGGGTACTTACTTATTTGTTGTAGGGGTAGGACAGGCATGAGCATTTCACAGAGTCCATGTTGAGGTCAGAGGATAATTTGTAGGAGCTGGTTCTTTGTTTCTATCATGTGAGTTCCAGGGGTCAAACTCAGCTCATCAGGCTTGACAGCAAAGGCCTTTACCTGTTGAGCCATCTCACCAGCCCTAGTATCTCTTTTTATTGGTATACAAATCTCTGCCGTGCCAGGGCCTCACTCCCAGGATCCCATGTGACCTATTTCCCTGCCTTCTCCATCTCTACATGTAGCCACTTTGGGGTTGTCGTTTCAGCATGGTGAATTTGGGGAAGGGGCAAACAGTTCGTAACAGAGCCCTCAGCTCAGGCTGTAGGACTCCTCTGATAGTGCTTTCAGTTGATCCGTCATATTGCGTTAGTTTAGTGTCATTTCTTCTTTATGGGGTTGCAGTGATTGTTGAATGAAATGATATTTTATTTTAATATAAGAGAAACTAAGTCAGTCATTAATCTTTCAAATATTAGGCTGTTCTTACAATAATAAAGTGTTCGTTAAAGTCAGAGAAATTAACAAGCAGGACACAATTTTGTAGACATTGTCAGCTTTTCTTGCTCATAGTTCTCATCCTGTAATCTAGGACTTGTTCTTGCACTCTGACTTCTGATCTAAGAAAAATTTAATTTAAATAAATTATAGACTGTTACTCTATTGAAATATCAGATAATTTACCTAAAACAGCACAAAAACTCATCCTAGTGTATATATCGCCTGTGTTCAGGACCATGAAACGTGGGGCTGGAAAGAAAATTCAGCATTTAAGAGTGATTATTCTTGTAAGGACTGGAGATCTGTTCCCAGGACCCTTGGATGGTTCAGGACTGCCAGCTCAAGGGAATCTTGATGCCCTCTTCAGACCTTCTCAGGGACCCACACACAGACACATAAGTAAAAATTAAAAAGTACTTGACAAAGATTTTAAAGTTAAATTATAACATTCTTATTAAAAATGGAGGCGAAAAGACCATTTCCTCATCTGAAAGAAGAGGTGTTGAGAGAACGGGAAGCACTCTCTGGAGTCACAGGATCTAGTCACCGTCTCTGCACGCTGTATCACACAGCTGTGTCTGGAGTCACAGGATCTAGTCACCGTCTCTGCACGCTGTATCACACAGCTGTGTCTGGAGTCACAGGATCTAGTCACCGTCTCCTCTAACGCTGTATCACACAGCTGTCGCCACATTTGTGGAGGCTGGCAGTCTTCATCTCAGTTACTAGCTTACGTGAAAAATTATTTTTAGATTAAATTTTAGAACTCATTTTTCCTTTTTTAGTGCTATTTGAGCCCATGCCACACACCTGTGTTCTAGTATTGAGCTATAACCCAGCCTTTCATTTAAAAATAATTAATAGATAGTGAAATTGTAATTTTTTTTTTTCAAAAAAATTTACAGGGTTTCTCTGTATAGCTTTGGAGCCTGTTTTGGAACTCTCCCTCCTTCCTTCTTTCCTTCCCTCCTTCCTTCCTTTCTTTTTCTTTTCTTCTTTTTTTTTTGTTTTTAGACAAGGTTTCTCTATGTTGCTCCAGCTGTTCTAGAACTCACTCTGTAGACCGGGCTGGTCTTGAACTCAGAGATCCGCCTTCCTCTGCCTCCTGAGTGCTGGCATTAAAGGTGTGCACCACTGCCTGGCAGTGATTTCTTTAAAGAATCTCTGTAATTTTTTTTTTTTTTTTTGAGACAGGGTTTCTCTGTAGCTTTGGAGCCTGTCCTAGAACTAGCTCTTGTAGACCAGGTTGGTCTCCAGTCAAAGTCACAGAGGTCTGCCTGCCTCTGCCTCCCAAGTGCTGGGATTAAAGGCATGTACCACCACTGCCCGGCTAGGTTCTCTATAATTTTTAAACATATCATTTTATATGTATGACTTTTGCCTGCATATATATGTATATCATCTGTGTGCTTGGTACCTCAGGAAGACAGAAGAGGGTATCGGATCCCCTGGGACTGTAGTTACAGATAGTTCTTAGCTGCCACATGGGTGCTGGGAACCAAATTCAGGTCATCTGGAAGAGCAACCAATGTTCTTAACTGCAAAAGGTCTCATCAGCTTGATCCCCAAATTTTAAATTATAATAAAATGTAAAAATGTTCAAGAAAAAAGTTATTAGAAGTTGTATAAGGCTGTTGCCATCACTGTTGTTGAATATAAAAGGATGTAAAGTGCTATGTAACTTTTATATTTACATTGAGAGATAAATTCTGTCTTTATATTTGATTTAGATGAGTATTTTTTGGGTGTGTGTGGGTGGAGACTTTGAGACAGGGTCTTCTTATGGTCCTGACTGGCCTGGAACTTGCTATGTATGAAGATCAGGCTCACCTCTACTCAGAGATCCATGTGTCTTTGTCATGTGAGTGTTAGGATTAAAAGTGTGCTTACCATGACAGCTTAAATGTGTGTGATTTTTTGTGTGGTATTAAGCAGTCATTTTAGTTATCTTCCAGTGCACTCAGTTTTCAGTCCTAGGCATAAAGAGTCAGCATGGTGGGCACTGTTCCCGTTGTGAGGAGATCTGATTGATACCACTCAGTGCTTACTACTCACTCTGGACTTGCCATTGAGTGCAAAGGAATAAACACCATCCCTTATTTAGGTATCATGATCTTACTCCTGCATTCTCTGCAAAAAATTGCTTGCTCACTTAGGTTTGGAATGGCCCCTCCACTATAAGATTCAGCCATGTATTTTGCTTAATTGATTGACGTTTTATGTGAAACAATTTCATTTTGATCAAATAATAAAGACTTCCTTCAAGCTAAAATGCTCAGTTAGGAAACTTTCTAGCTAATCGATTATGCTGTTAGTTTGGGACATGTTTTGTCTTAGACGGGATGAGATCTTATCTTGAAGTCATCCTTGAGTGCTGATACTTCCCCTTCAGAGAAGAGGCAGAGTCAGGAGACTCAAGTGCAGAGACCTAAGTGCTAAGCTTGTAAAGCTGTTCTGTCGACTGGAAGAGTAGAACGTGGGAGGCTGTACATATGTGACTAGATTGCTTTTCTGTCAGGGCTTCACAGCATAGCTTATTCATCTAGTATTTTAGCCTTGCAAGGAGAATGTCATAGAATGTCAAACTAGAAGACTTGTAACAGACTGCTAATGACTATGACTCTCTAATGTGAAAACTCTCCTTCTTTAGATTTATGTAAAAACTGTTTTGTTTTGAAATCAGTACTAATTGTCATTTTTTTCTCTCACAGCTTCATATTCTCCAATTCAGCCTCATTCTCTAATCAAACATCAACAGATTCCTCTTCATTCACCACCTCCTAAGGTTTCCCATCATCAGCTGATTTTACAACAGCAACAACAGCAGATTCAGCCAATCACCCTTCAGAGTCCAACTCAAGATCCGCCCCCATCCCAGCACTGTATCCCGCTTCCAAACCATGGCCTTTCTCCAGCTCCTAGTAATGCCCAGTCACAGCATTGCTCACCAATTCAGAGCCATCCCCCTCCTTTAACTGTGTCTCCTAATCAGGCACAGTCGGCACAGCAGTCTGTAGTGGTGTCTCCTCCTCCACCTCATTCCCCAAGTCAGTCTCCTACTATAATTATCCATCCACAAGCACTTATCCAGCCACACCCTCTTGTGTCTTCAGCTCTTCAAACAGGGCCAAATTTGCAGCAGGCTACTGCTGATCAGGTACAACCCACAGCACAGCTGAATCTTCCATCCCATCTTCCACTTGCAGCATCCCCTGTTGTACACATTGGCCCAGTCCAACAGTCTGCCTTGGTGTCCCCTGCTCAGCAGATTGTGTCTCCAACATCACACCAGCAATACTCAGCCCTGCAGTCATCTCCAATTCCAATCGCAACCCCTCCACAGATGTCGACATCTCCTCCAGCTCAGATCCCACCACTGCCCTTGCAGTCTATGCAGTCTTTACAAGTGCAGCCTGAAATTCTATCCCAGGGCCAGGTTTTGGTGCAGAATGCTTTGGTGTCAGAAGAAGAGCTACCTGCTGCAGAAGCTCTGGTCCAGTTGCCATTTCAGACTCTTCCTCCTCCACAGACTGTTGCGGTAAATCTCCAAGTACAGCCACCAGCACCTGTTGATCCACCAGTGGTAAGCCCTCGGCAGCTCTTTGACTTTCTTGCTGAACTGAACGTAAAGCTGGTTCCCCCACACTGTGCTGTACTGTTAAATCTAAATGTCTATGATTTTTTTAAGCTTGCCTTTTTCCTGTGTCAGTATTCCAACAATGTATTGTATGGGCAAAGGAAAAAATGTCGTTTGTTGTAGTATGGTTGCATGCTTTAAATTTGTGATGGTTATTAAAGTCCCTCGTTAATTTTATTACTATTTAAACAAATCCATCTGCTATCTTTACAGAGTTGATTTTTTTTCCCCAAGGGAATGCATTTGAACCAGTGTCATCTGCACAAAGTTTTTTCTCTTAAGGTGATTATCCTTCATAGATCCCTTCTGTATGTTCTTAAGCGCATGGTTTATCTAGCTAACCTTTCAGTTGGGTGCATTTGGAAGTCCTGGGCCTTGAGCAGCTTTTCTTTCAAGGAAGAGGTATGATTGTATGATATAACTTTTTTGACAAAATTGTGTTTTGTAATTAAAACTGTAAAAACATTTATTCCAGGGTAGAATTCAACTTTGCAAAAAACAATTGACTTTCTAAACTTTCTATCTACTAAGAGAAAATATATATTTAAGTTATTTCTCAGTTAAAAGGCTCAAAACCCTGAGTCTCTGTCTTTGACACTGAGAGTAACAGAAGTGCACTATATGAAGTAAGAATTTTGAGTAATTGGGATTTCAGTGGAATGTGTCAGAGTGAGCCTCTCGAAACGGACACGTGAGGCCTGAAAAGGGAGGTTATCTTGAAAGTAGCTTCTTTCAAAATTTTCTCTTGAAGGACTTATTAAAATTCATTAAATGTTTTATGCAAAAATTGAAATAAGGTCCTTATGAGTTTAATCAGAATGACCAGATTCAGTTTCTTATTCAGGAAAAAAAATTTTTCTAAAAGGAAGTTTTGTGTCAAACTTTGAACATCACTGAAAGTCAGATCAGTTCTTGGGAAGCTGGGGCATGAGCTTGGCCATCTTGGGTTGTCCAGTGAGTTCAAGAGCAGCCTTGGCTACAGAGTCCATACAGAATATTTCTAAATTGAAATATTTAGATATCAAGTAACATTAATCTCAGAAAGGAAAGGAGTCTTGCTCTCTTCATTAGTAGAAACATTTGTCTCTTATGACTATTTTGTAGTTTGTTTTTCTATCCTAAGTGATCTTAACAGACACGGAGCTGCTCAGTTTTGCCTGTTACTGCCCTGGAAAGCCAGAAACCAGGAGAAACGGATGTTAGAAAACCCTGTTCTTTGATTGCCTCTGTGTTTATTTTCATGGTTTTTTAGAGCTCTTATAGTAGGTTTCGCTTTGAGGGTATGGTTGAGTGGTAGAGCACCTGTTTAGCATGGGCCAGGCCCTGTGCAGTCCCCAGTACTGCCAAAACAAAAGCATGGAAAACAGAGGTTTAGGAAGAATTCAGTACCTTCAAAGGAATCAAATTTCATTTCATTTTCTTAACATTTAATTAGGAGATTGGTTTTCAGTGAGTAAACAATAAAATTTCCATATTCCCTATATCCTTTTTAATAAGAAGACTTTGGACTAAAATAATTAGGGCAGAAATGCCCAAAATAAAACACTTTAAATACTGTGCCGAAAATACTGTTGGGCCTGTCTTGCTGATTTTGTCCCGTTACTGTGTGACAGCAGGCCGCTCCCTGCACACAGTGTCCTCTAAGTCCTTTCCCAGCAGCTGCTCACTTAAGTTGCTGTTTTGTTGTCATTCCCGCAAAAACACCATTTCTACCCTTGATTATTTTAAGTACTTAAGTGTAAATATATTTCTTTCTAATAAGATGTAAAAATTGAAAGAAAAGGTGAATTATCAAACTAAATCAGTGTGTTTTCAAAAAGATATTTCTATAAAAGAAACAGTTTTTTTTTTAAATTGGGTGTAAATAAGATATGTTGAGGATAGATGATTTAGAACTAATAAACACATGTTCCTCAGTTTATTTAGGAAGGGAGACAGATGGGAATGTGGACTTTACTAAGGTAAGTTTGGCGGTCTTCGTTATTTTTAGAATAGTTACAGTTATGAGCTAAATAGGACTTGTGTAGTTTGTTGTGATCTTGCGAGCAAAGCCTCTGATCACTACTTTCCTCAGGAGTCTAGCTGTTGCATTTAGATGTTTTTGTGCCGATTGTATCAGACATGTGTGACAAATTTCTTTTGCCTACTTTATTTACCTGTAAACTTGTTTTCTTTTATATGGGAGATTATAAAGAGCTCTCTTTATTCAACCTCATCATAAGAAGGAAAATTATTTTATAGTGTTCTTTGATTGATAATTTGAAAAAACAATGCTATTTGTATTATGGTCTTGTCCTTTTTTAAAAACTACTTTTCAAAAAGTCAGAATTCTGTGCACGGTGGAGCTCTGTTTTCTTAAAAGATAGTGTACCAGATGCTGCAGCAGCAGGTGGCCCAGCATTGAGGGGAGAGGGTTAGCAGCTTGGCTGTGGCCATCTTTGAAAGAACTGTTTGTGAGGGAAAGAGTGCCATGGACTGAACTGGCTAAGAAGCCACTTTTGCATGGCTGCCCTCAGCCAGCTCTCCAGCCGCTCCTCTGAATTAACTCCGCACCTTCTAGGTTGTAGGTCCCACAAACTTTATTTTATTTTTGTTAGTGTCGTTTGTTAACCCCTAGGTATGTTGGTAGTGATGTATTCTATGATGAGTATTATTCTATATTGTTAGTATATTATTTAATATATACTAAACATTGCTGTTAGCATGAGCAGAGTAGTGGCTGTCAGTTGTGTAGCATACAGTAACAATTGACTTGATTCCACTTGTGACTGAGGTTCTCGTGAAGCAGTTTTCTGTTTCTGGGTTGCAAAAAGATATCTTTTAAAAAATGTTGCCTACTTAGTACCTAATTAGGATCATAGTTTAAGATATCATGTTAAATATAAAAAAAACTCTGGTGGGATTTTAGGTTTTTGTTTTTTGGTTTTTTGAGACAGGGTTTCTCTGTGTAGCTTGGCTATCACTGAACTCACTCTGTAGACCAGGCTGGCTTTGGACTCAGAGATTTGCTTGCCTCCGTCTCCTGAATACTGGGACTAAGAGTGAGCAACACTACCACCCTCAGAAATTTTATTTATTTATTTTTTAAGCAAAAATCATGTTTAATCCTTTTTTGCTGTTGTTTAGGTAGGCTCTTGCTATGCTCCCAGGCTGGTCTTGAACTCAGTATTCTGTCTTAGCTTTCTAAATGCTAGGATTGCAGGGTTGTGTCACCATTCCTGGATGGGTGTTTTATTTTAAGTAGATGCTTTGAGTTTTTGTTTCTGTTTTTTTTATTTGTTTGTTTTTTATTAAACCAGTATTACTTGTGGTTATGCACATGTTCATAAATAAAACTTTATAGTATTTTACATGGTTTATGCCAGATTTAAAAATCTTAATTATTTTCGTATTAAATTCTAGATACCTCAAATTATAATTTTTTCAGCATTTAACTAAAATAGATGTCACTTAACGTTAACTTTGTGAATGTTACAAGTTTTTTTAACTGTTAAGATTTATTTCAATGTTAATTAGTTAAGAAATCTTAAAAAACCCTCAATCTTTGTAAATTTAAGCAGAAGCTTTGCCACACGAATGGAAATGAACTGTCTTACATTTTTGTGTTAGTAGATTATCTTTCATAAATAGCAACCAATCAAAGTACATCAGTTAATTTCTAGAGACACTTTGAAAATTAATCCTTAAGTTTAATAAAACCTTAGTTGAGTAGTTTAGCTCTAGTTACATGGTTTCTCCTCTGTGATTTTCTTTTTTTTCTTTTTTCAAGACAGGGTTTCTCTGTGTAGTCGGGGCTGTCCTGGAACTTATTCTGTAGACCAGGCTGGCTCAGACTCACAGAGATCCACCTGCTTCTGTCTTCTGAGTGCTGGGATTAAAGGTGCGCGCCACCACTGCCCGGTTTCCTCTGTGATTTTGATGTCAAAAGTCTTTCAGTAAAACCGTCACAGTTGCATTAAAGGCACTAAACCTTCTTCGTGGGAACTGAGAGGTAGAGCCACATAGCTTAGGTTATGTGTTCAGTTTTAAAGAAAGATCTGTATGTATTGTACTAACTCTAAGAATTCATTTGATTCTTGAGTAGAACAGAAAGGGAATGAAAATATGATTGCTGACTTTTCTGTAGTTTCATATACAATAATTTTCCTAATTTAGTTTTTATTAACAATGAGTAATCTTACATATAATTTTTGGCATTATATTGCCCTGGCATATATTGTTTTGAAAGTTTACTCAGAGTGTCTATAAAGTACTGGCCCCTGTTTTGATTCATGATTCAATGGTGTTCTTAAAATAGTTATTTGATTGAATAAAGCCAAAACCCTGTTTTTTTAATTCTTGAAAATATGTTCAGTTATGGTCATTATCATTTGGAAAGCCCGTGGTTCCGAGGTCACATAACTGGCCCACAGTGTGCTTTCAGTGGTGCACTGCTGAGTAGTGTAAACACTTTTGTGAGTGATTTCAAAGTTCTCCTTTCAGCTTGTCAGTATAGACGTTTGCCCTGTTTTTAGTTTAATATATTTAGAATTAATTTTTTTTTAAATTCAGAATACCACACTAGATGTAGTTTTGAAAATATCTGAAGGCAGTATGACTTGTCATTGCAGGTTTATCAAGTAGAAGATGTGTGTGAGGAAGAAATGGCAGAGGAGCCAGATGAGTGTGCGAGGATGGACAGAACACCACCACCACCCACCTTGTCTCCAGCAGCCGTAACTGTGGGCCGGGGAGAGGACCTGACATCTGAACATCCTCTGTTAGGTGAGGAGACAAAATATAGGAGGAGATTCTTTTTGATAGATGGCAAAATAGGAATGTTCTTTTCATTGGAGATGGCATTAAACTGATATTACTGTTAACCGTAGCCAAAGATAGATTATACCAATATTGACTCAGACTTAATTTAAATTGTTCTGTGTTTGATGATTTCATGGCCCTCATGATTGTTTTCAATTAAGGAAAAACACTATCCTAGGTATGGAAGCAAATGGTGGGGGCCTGAGGAGGTCTGATACAAAGTAGCACCTGCCTTCCTTTTCTCTGACCATGCTGTGTCTGTTTGCTCCCTTCTCTGAACTTTATTCCCTAAAGTGACTATCCAGGAAGGAGAGAAGAGGGAAATCAGCTTTCTTCTCTTTTCTCTCTTGAAAATAGAAAATATACTGGGCATGGTAGCTCACGCCTCTGATTCCATCAGTCATGAGGCAGAGGCAGGCAACTCTGAGAGTACATAGTGGTCCATTTTAAAGAACTAACCATGATACTGGGTGTGGTGGGGCACACCTGTACTCTTAGTACATAGTGTACATAGAGTACATAGTGTACATAGAGTACATAGTGCACATAGAGTACATAGTGCACATAGAGTACATAGTGCACATAGTGTACATAGAGTACATAGTGTACATAGTGTACATAGTGTACATAGAGTACATGGAGTACATAGTGCACATAGTGTACATAGAGTACATAGAGTACATAGTGTACATAGAGTACATAGTGTACATAGAGTACATAGTGTACATAGAGTACATAGAGTACATAGTGTACATAGTGTACATAGTGTACATAGTGTACATAGAGTACATGGAGTACATAGTGCACATAGTGTACATAGAGTACATAGTGTACATAGAGTACATGGAGTACATAGTGTACATAGTGTACATAGTGTACATAGTGTACATAGAGTACATAGTGTACATAGAGTACATAGTGTACATAGTGTACATGGAGTACATAGAGTACATGGAGTACATAGTGTACATAGTGTACATAGAGTACATAGAGTACATAGTGTACATAGTGTACATAGAGTACATAGTGTACATAGTGTACATAGAGTACATAGTGTACATGGAGTACATAGTGTACATAGAGTACATAGTGTACATAGTGTACATAGTGTACATAGAGTACATAGAGTACATAGTGTACATAGTGTACATAGAGTACATAGAGTACATAGTGCACATAGTGTACATAGTGTACATAGAGTACATGGAGTACATAGTGTACATAGAGTACATAGTGCAATAGTGTACATAGTGTACATAGAGTACATAGAGTACATAGTGTACATAGAGTACATAGTGTACATAGAGTACATAGTGTACATAGAGTACATAGTGTACATAGAGTACATAGAGTACATAGTGTACATAGAGTACATAGTGCACATAGAGTACATAGTGCACATAGAGTACATAGTGCACATAGTGTACATAGAGTACATAGTGTACATAGTGTACATAGTGTACATAGAGTACATGGAGTACATAGTGCACATAGTGTACATAGAGTACATAGTGTACATAGAGTACATAGAGTACATAGTGTACATAGAGTACATAGTGTACATAGAGTACATAGAGTACATAGTGTACATAGTGTACATAGTGTACATAGTGTACATAGAGTACATGGAGTACATAGTGCACATAGTGTACATAGAGTACATAGTGTACATAGAGTACATAGTGTACATAGTGTACATAGTGTACATAGTGTACATAGAGTACATAGTGTACATAGAGTACATAGTGTACATAGTGTACATAGAGTACATAGAGTACATGGAGTACATAGTGTACATAGTGTACATAGAGTACATAGAGTACATAGTGTACATAGTGTACATAGAGTACATAGTGTACATAGTGTACATAGAGTACATAGTGTACAAGGAGTACATAGTGTACATAGAGTACATAGTGTACATAGTGTACATAGTGTACATAGAGTACATAGAGTACATAGTGTACATAGTGTACATAGAGTACATAGAGTACATAGTGTACATAGAGTACATAGTGCACATAGTGTACATAGTGTACATAGAGTACATGGAGTACATAGTGTACATAGAGTACATAGTGCAATAGTGTACATAGTGTACATAGAGTACATAGAGTACATAGTGTACATAGAGTACATAGTGTACATAGAGTACATAGTGTACATAGAGTACATAGAGTACATAGTGTACATAGAGTACATAGTGTACATAGTGTACATAGAGTACATAGAGTACATAGTGTACATAGTGTACATAGAGTACATAGTGGTCCTTTTTAAAGAACTCCTAACCATGATACCAGGTGTGGTGGTGCACACCTGTACTCTTAGTACTTAGGAGGCTGAGGTAGGAGGATCATGAGTTCAAGGTTAACCGGTTGTCTGAAGCCAGCCTGGGCTACACAGGCTGTCAGCAGTCTCAGATATTTTTATTTTCTGTTGTTTTTAAATCTTTTTTTCCCCCCAAAAAGACAGGGTCTCTTATAGTCTTGACTGGCCTAGGACTCTATATGTAGCCAAGACCGGCCTTGAATTCGCAGAGATCCTACCTGCTTCACATCTCCAGAGTGCTAGGATTAAAAAAGATGTGCACCATGATGCCTGGTTTCACTTTTTTTTTTTTTAAACTTTTTGCTTTTTGGTGGTGCTGAGGATGAAAACCAGGGTCTTAGGCATGCTAGGAAGCTCTGCTCATAACCTACATTTTCAGCCAGTATGTAAAGCTTCTTTACTTTGAAAGCATTTGTTGCTGCAGATGTCCTGAAGTTTTGATTCAAAAGTAGAAATATCACCTTACTTGATTGTACTTCTGCTTTTATTACAAATTAAATGTGGCTTTTACTGCTAATACCAAATGTGAAATGTTGGAACACGGTGGTCTTCATGACTTTTCCCTCGTGTATTGTCTGAGACCCTTCCAAGCCCGTCTTTCCGGCTGTTGCCAGTTATGGTGTAGACACGTCAGTCTTCCTGTAATTTACTTCATTCCTCCGTGGTATGTGGAAGGGGGAGTAAGACAGTGATATTTAGAATAACCTGGCAAATGATGGAACTAAGTAACTTATAAAAATAGACTTGTTTAGCCGGGCGGTGGTGGCGCACGCCTTTAATCCCAGCACTCGGGAGGCAGAGGCAGGCGGATCTCTGTGAGTTTGAGACCAGCCTGGTCTACAAGAGCTAGTTCCAGGACAGGCTCCAAAGCCACAGAGAAACCCTGTCTTGAAAAACCAAAAAAAAAAAAAAAAAAAAAAAAAAAAAAAAAAGACTTGTTTGGGGCTAGAAAGTTGGTTCAGTGGTTAAAAGCCCTTACTGCTCTTGGAGAGGATTGGAGTTTGGGTTCCAGAATGGACATGGCAGCTCACAATTACTTATAATTCTAATTTCAGGGGATCTCATACCCTCTTCTGGCCTCCACAGGCACTGCACACACTCATATATAAATATAAATATATATATATATTTATATAAATATATATAAATAAATATAACAAGTCATAAAAACCAGACTTGTTTCCATCCATGATTGAAATTTTAAAAATCTATAAAAAAATCTTTAAAAGTTTCCATGTTAAAAAGGAAGGACAAACTCACAGCCCAGTGTGTATCTGTAAATAAATCCAGCAGGCTATTCCAAAGTCAGAGCTGCCTCGAGGGCAGTGCAGTAGAGTTTCTGTCCTGTTGTGGCGGGTGTCGCTCGTGCTTGGCTTTCTAACAGCCTCCTGTGAATTAGCAAAGACTCCATGTTAGGTTTTTATAAAGACAGGAACTTACAGATTATTTTTTTTAAACACAACTTGAGAGGACTTTATTCATGATCTAAAGATTAATTCAGCCGGGCAGTGGTGGCGTACACCTTTAATCCCAGCACTTGGGAGGCAGAGGCAGGCGGATCTCTGTGTTAGTTTGAGGCCAGCCTGGTGTACAAGAACAAGAGCTAGTGCCAGGACAGACACCAAAGCCACAGAGAAACCCTGTCTCAAAAAACCAAAAAAAAAAAAAAAAAAAAAAGATTAATTCAGATTATCATTGAGCAGTATTTTCTGAAAAAACTCTACTTAATGCAATGTCTTCGTCCATTTTGTGCATTTGATCTGAGTATGGTGAAAATGCCTATAGCATCAGCACTTAGGAGACTGAGGAGGGAAGATGTGGAGTTTGAAACCAGCTAGGCTACCTGACAGGAACCCTTGGCTTGTGCTTCTGAAGTGTGGGGACTGTAAGGTCCAGGTGCTGCACCTGGCAAGGACCTTCCTGCGGAGCTCTTACATGGTGGAAGCATCACCGGCAATGTGGGCATCCCAGACAGTTCCTCCATGATGGAAATGAGGTCCTGCTCACACTCCATAAAGTTCTGCTTCTTCACACTGCTGTCAAGGATTAAGTTCCTAACACAGGAATTTTGGAATGTCCATTTAAACCATAACATGTAGTTTTATATTTATTGAGCAAGAAAGTGTCTTTAAATCGGTTAGAGTTATTTTGAATTTTATTTTAATTCCCATAGATTTTTTTTTTTGTGTGTGTGTGTAGAAAAATAACTTTCAGCCATACCTAATAGTGTTTTTTTGGGTCTTTTGTCCCATAGAAGTATTTGTGATGATTGAACACATGGGTAGGGATATTGTAGTGTTTCTGCTTGATAATACATGTGGATAGTTGTGCATATATTCACAGACATTAGCTAGTTACCAATCTATGGGTGCTTTGTTTTTCTTGCTCCTTCCTTCTTCCTTTTGTCTCTCCATCCCTCCTCCCTCCCCCTCTTTGTCTTTCTTTCCCTCTTTTCCTTATTTTGTGCATGGGGGGTTGGTTGTTTTTGATACACTGTCTCACTCAGTAGCCTTCACTGGCCTGGAACTCTCAGAGAGATCTTTCCTGTGTCTGCTTTGTAAATGCCTGGTCAATTATATGGCATTAAACAACAGTTTCAATATTTTATCTTTGTGAAAATAGATTATTATTGCTATAATAGTGTTGGTTAAACCTACAGCATATTAATTAGATTGGTCTTACTAAGGGTGAGCTCTTTGTGTTTCCATTTTTTCTTTGGAATTTTAATATGTATTTTGTGGCACAGGGGGTTTATTATTTTGCTTCCTACTTATGCACTTTCCACTAATCTATAACCTCAGTCCCTGCTTTATCAGTTGAGTTTTCTGTTTTTTAAAGAGCCTATTCTTTTTTCTCTTCTACCTAAGTCAACTATATTTTTAGCATCATTAACTGGTAGTGGTATCAGTCCTTGTTTTTTGAGACAGGGTTTCACTGTGTAGCTGTGGCTGTCCTGGAACTCACTCTGTAGACCAGGCTGGCCTCCATCTAACAGAGATCCGCCTGCCTCTGCCTCCTGAGTGCTGGGATCAAAGGTGTGTGCCACCACCGCCTGGTTGGGACAGTGCCCCAGTTTCATTGCCTGTTTGTTGTGTGCCATTGAGGCAAGTAAGTTAATCTGTCTGTGTCTTGGTTTCCTTATTTGTAAGATGGAGCTGATTACATTGATCACCCATAGGCTACTTGTAGATGAATTGAGGTACAGTATGAAAGCATTGAACATGGCACCAGCCACCTAAGTGCTCAGTGAGGGTCTTTGCAGACATGCTTTCTGTTTTCTTCAGAAGTTTGTTCTCACTAGTATGTCTAGATGGAAACTTCTCTCTACTGTAGTACTGACAGTCAAGGGCTGGTGCTACTGGTGGCAGTGACTCTTCACCCATCAGATTGTCAGCTAACCCTTCCTGTGGGCTGCCAACATTTCCCCATCAGCACATACAGCAACGCTAGAAAGCAAAACACATTTGAGAAGATTTGGTGGGCCTCCCAGCTTTGCAGTTACAGTCTACAACCTGCCTAATCACTGGAATTCCTACTTACTTGGGGGCTTCTCTGAGGGCGTAAGTCACAAACAATGCCACACCAATTTGGGATTATGATTAATAGGGTGGTATTTATTAAAGGGGAAAAAAACTTACAGATCACTGTCCCAGGCAACAGCCCTCTACGCAACCAGGAAAGGAGTCTAGTCACCAGCGGAGCAGGAAGTGAAAAAGAGAGAGGAGAGGGAAATGGCCGCTTTTTTAAAGGGAAAGAGACCATGCCCCAATGGGCTGGTATCTCAGCGGTGATAGGCTGGAGGAATGGGAGGACCTCCTGCAACACTTCTCCATCCTTTTTAATTTTTCAAATGATTATCTAGGTATCATGTGGAATAAAGAGGAATGTAAGGTATTTATTATCTGTATAGCTTAAAAGCAGACAAATTCAACTGATCATTTTTGAAATTTGAAAATGATATTTAGGATATTTTCATGTTTTATGGGGATAATAAAAATGGTTTAGATGATAATTTTGAGCATGTTAGTGTACGTCTATAGAAAGGGGATATTAGCTTCTTCCTTCTGTGGATATTGTGCAATGAAATTATACAGTAAGCATAATGCTTCTGGAAGACAGCAGGTCTGAGTGAGCTTCCGTCTCTGCAGGGCAGGTGGCTAAAGGTCCATCCCTTTTCTTTCAGAGCAAGTGGAGTTGCCTGCTGTGGCCTCAGTCAGTGCTTCAGTGATTAAGTCTCCCTCAGATCCTGCCCATGGCTGTGTTCCTCCACCACCACTCCTAATTCCAGCTGCTGCCACGAGGGGCAATAGCACATCTATGGCCAGCAGCGCTCCCAGCCTAGAAAACAAACCTCCACAGGCTATTGTCAAACCACAGATCCTGACTCATGTTATTGAAGGCTTTGTGATTCAGGAGGGATTGGAGCCATTTCCTGTAAGTAGAAAGCTTTTTGTGTTTTAAAAGTTATTATTTTTTTATTTTTATTTTTTTTTCTTTATTTTTTTTTTTTGTTGTTGTTGTTAATTTTTTTTTTTTTGGCGGACAATGAAGGCTGATGAGAAGCCAAGGACAGTGGCACTAGGTTTCGATCCTAATACATGAACTGGCTTTGTGGGAGCCTAGCCTGTTTGGATGCTCACCCTCCTGGACCTGGATAGAAGTGGGAGGACCTTGAACTTCCCGCAGGGCAGGGAATTTAGAAGTTATTTTTAACCATATAACACCATCTTAAAAAAAATTGTCTGCTGCTGTTCTCTAAGAAAATACTTATAGGGGCTGGAGAGGTGGCTCAGCGGTTAGGAGCACTTGCTACTCTCCCAGAGGTCCTGAGTTCAATTCCCAGCAACCATATGGGGGCTCACAATCATCTGTAATGAGATCTGGTGCCCTCGTCTGGCCTGCAGGCAGACATGCAGGCAGAATACTGTATGCATAATAATAAAAAAAAAAATCTTTGGGCTGGAGAGATGGCTCAGTGGTTAAGAGCACTGCCTGCTCTTCCAAAGGTCCTGAGTTCAATTCCCAGCAACCACATGGTGGCTCACAACCATCTGTAGTGAGGTCAGGTGCCCTCTTCTGGCCTGCAGACATACACACAGACAGAATATTGTATACATAATAAATAAATAAATATTTAAAAAAAAGAAAAGAAAATACTTATAATCTTATTTTAAAGGTTGATTTTTTTGAGTATTTTAAAGAATTTTACTCTCTAATATTTTATGTATTTTCCTATATAGGTTCTGAGACATTTTGTATTAACCATTTCTGATCTTAATTTTGCTTATCTGCCTGATGGAGATGCTCTTTGGGTGTGAGAATTAAATATGCTAGCATTATTCTTTGCTGTACCTGGCATTTACTAACCATAGCTATTACTTATTATTGTCATTGTAGTGATAATTACAACTTAACTTTTTCATGTTATAAAAGTAATTCATGCTTTAAAACTTGAACTATCTAGAACAAGTAATAATATCACTGTGCATGTATATTCACGTAATCAAGATTATTATTATGCATACAATTCCTTTTTTACTTCATATATGAGCATTTATTTATCAATAATAACATTTTTGCACATTTTGAAATGTGACATAATCTACCTTATGTACAACCATAATATATAAATCCTCTCAAACACTGTTTTCATCTTATCACTGTTTAAATAGTCTAAGATACAACTTAGTGAAAGGATGCATTTTTAGCATGTTTGAGGTGCTTGTTGATATTTTCAGTACCCCCCACTCATGTGGGGTGGGGAGAAAGATATACATTTTTATGTAAGTTATCCACATTTTAAATAGTTTTTATAGCGTAAATTCCTAAAAGTAGTAGTATTTTGAAACATTATTTTATGGAAAGTTTGTTTCCTCATCTGCTACAAGCATTGCTTAGTAGAATTACTTCTATAAATTTTGCTTGAGGCATATTAAGATACTGAAATAAGTACAGATTTTATTTTATTTTAATTTTTTTTTTGGTTTTTCGAGACAGGGTTTCTCTGTGGTTTTGGAGCCTGTCCTGGAACTAGCTCTTGTAGACCATACTGGTCTCGAACTCACAGAGATCCGCCTGCCTCTGCCTCCCAAGTGCTGGGATTAAAGGCGCGCCACCACCGCCCGGCATAAGTACAGATGTTTTAATTACAAAATTTTGATTCTACTTTAATAGTTTTTTTTAGAAAAGTTATTTTTGGGTATGGTGTTTTGTCTGCATGTGGCTGTGCACCATGTGTGTGCTTATGGCCCTCAGAAAGCAGAAGAGGGCTTAAGACCCTTGAAACTGGAATTACAGGTGGCTGTGAGCCATCATATGGGTGCTGGGAATCAAACCAGGGTCCTTTGGAAAAAGCATCTACGGTACTTAACTGCTGAACATCTCTCCAGCCCCTACAGAAATTTCCAGTAGGCCATGGTTCCCTCCCCCTCTACAACCAGCCTTCTTTCCAGGTTAGCTGAGGGCTTGCCTAAAAAGAATTAGTACATTTTCTTGGTTTAAAATTTTCCTGAAAATATTTCTAAAATAAGGATTCCCGATGCTGAACACAATGACTATTTGTTGTTGATGTTAGTATCTCAGTGTTTGAGGAGCTTGTTTGTCCTGTAATTACAGTGATTAGCTTGCTCAAGATTTAAGTGCTTTGTAAAGAAGTAATCTAGCCAGGCGGTGGTGGTTTACGCCTTTAATCCCAGCACTCAGGAGGCAGAGGCAGACGGATCTCTGTGAGTTTGGTGTCAGCTTGGTCTACAGTCTGAGTTCCAGGACAGCCAAAACCAGAAATAAATTAAAAAGAAGTAATTTAAACTCTCTGAACATTAGTATCCTTATCTATAAAATAAAGTATGAACTTAGGGTATAAGTGTTTGGTACAGTCTTGCTTAGCATGTAGGTGGCCATGACTTTCATCTCTAGCATTTAAAATGTTCATCTTTGTGTGTGTTGCATTTATTATTATTATTATTATTAAGGAAGAACTTGAAAACATGCTTAATCAGATTTTTTCCCTTTTTATTGAAAGTAGCTTTTGCCAGGTGGTGGTTATGAACGCCTTTAATCCAACACTCGGGTGGCAGAGGCAGGCGGATCTCAGTTTGAGGCCAGACTGGTCTACAGAGTGAGTTTCAGGACAGCCAGGGCTACTCAGAGAAACCCTGTCTCAAAAAACAAAATAAAACAAGTAGTTTTTATTTTCACATAATATATTCTAATTATGTTTTCCCTCCCTCTATTTCTCTGTCCCTTCGAACTCCCATCCCATCTAGATCTACCCCCTTTCTGTCTCTCATTAGAAAACAGGCTTCTAAAGGATAATAATAAAATATGATCAGATAAGACAAAAACTAATACATTAGAAGAGGAAAAAGAAACAGAAGAAAAAGAGACCAAGAAAAGACACATGAAACATTTGACACAGAGACCCACTTGTTTGGACACTCAAGAATCCCATTAAAGCACTAAACTGGGAGCCATTTATATATATGCAAAAGATTTGTAGGGTAAAAAGAGACAGAAAAAATATCCATAAATAAAATAAAAATAAAAAATAAGATAATTAAAAAAGTAAGCCCTGATATGATACTCCTAGACAAGGAGCCTCCAGTAATGCTATTGGACGTGTTTTCTGTTGACCTGCAGCCTACATGCAGACTGTTCTCGAGTGGTTTGTTTCTGCAGGGAGACTCCCTTGGAGAGAACTAAACTTTTATTTGCAAGTGGTTATTAGTTAGGGATGAGTGCATGTGTTCACTTCTCCTCTTACCTCTAGGACTCCATTTGGAACAGACTCATGTAGGTCCCGTGCATGCTGCTCCAGTCTGAGTCTTTACAGGCACTGATCCTGTTGATTTGGAGGATCTTGCTTTCTTGGTGTCCTGTCTGTCCTCCATCCCCTCTAACTTATACTCTTTCTGTCTCCTCTTCTGTGGGTTTCCTGAGCCCTGAGGAGGATTTGATGGAGACTCCTTGTTTAGTGTTTGAATGTTACAAGGACTCTCATTCTCAGCGAATTGTCTGACTGCAGGAGGAAACTTCTCCATTGGTGGCTAAGCAAGGCACTTGATCTATGAGTGTCGCAGAATGTCACCAGGAGTCATTTTTATTACTTTATTGCTATTATTATTTTAAGTAGGACAGTAGTGTTTGGTTTTGCCGTAGATTCCTGGGCTTTCTAGTCTCTGGTTCTTGGTCACCCAAGCAGTTGGGTATGGTTCATCTCATGGAGTGGGCCTTAAGTCAAATCAGATAGTGGTTACTCCCATAAGATTTATGGCACTATTGCACTTGCATATCTTGCAGGCAGAATATCATTGTAGATCAAAGGGTTAGTGGCTAGGTCGGTATTTATGTTTCTCCTTTGATATCATGCAGAGTACCCACCCTCCTGTATCAAAAATGCTAGACCATAGGGCTGAATGAGCTCTATGAGACACGAGCTTAACTTCTTCATGTTCAGTGAGTTGTGTAGGTATTGTCTTCAGCACTGGAGCCTTGCTGTTTGTAGAGAGCAGCCTATAGTCTTGGCAGCAGCCTGGTTGTTTGGAATTCCCATGGGACAGCTTTGCCCAACAACTCAAGTAGATGAAACCTAACCCCAGTACTGGAAGCACTGGAAGCTTCATTTGGTGACAAGTTAGGGCTCTGTCTACTTGTTATTTGGTGATTTCTTTTAGATCACCTTCAAGTATGTCTATATTTTAAGAGGCTTCTACTGTATTAGGTTTTCATACTATCCTGTAGGAGGAGGAGGGCCACTTGTCTGTCCTGGCCGCCTGGCTAGCTTACACCCGAAATAACCACATGGAAAAATTTTTTTTTTTTGATTTTTTGAGACAGGGTTTCTCCGTAGCTTTTTGGTTCCTGTCCTAGAACTAGCTCTTGTAGTCCAGGCTAGCCTCAAACTCACAGAGATCTGTCTGCCTCTGCCTCCCGAGTGCTGGGATTAAAGGCGTGCGCCACCACCGCCCGGTTTAACCACATGGAAATTGTATTAATTAAAACACTGCTTGGCCCATTAGCTCTAGTTTGTTATTGGCTAATTCTTACATCTTAATTTAACTCTTTTTCTATTAATCTGTGTATCGCCACGTGGCTGAGGCTTACCGGCAAGATTCTAACTGACGTCTGTCTGAGGAAGAGGATCCATAGCTTCTCTGACTTTGCCCTTCTTCCTCCCAGCATTCAGTTCTGTCCCCCGCCTACCTAAGTTCTGCCCTATCAAGGCAGTTTCTTTATGAAAGCAACACATGAACAGAAGGATCTCCTACACCACTATCCCTCAAATTTTAGTGGTCTCTCCTCATGTTTCCTTCATTGTACCCCTCTCCCTCCACCTCCCCACTTGATTTTCCCATTCCAGTCTCCTGCTCCATCCATCCATAACTATTTATTTTATTTCTTATTCCCCCTCCCCCAGTCCCTTACTCACCTAACCTCTGGGTTCTATGGATTGTAGCTTGCTTATCATTGACTTAACAGCTAATACCCACATAAAATTGAATACATACCATATTTGTCTTTCTGGGTCAGGGTTACCTCACTCAGGATAATATTTTTCCAGTTCCATTTGTTTACATGATGTCTTTTTTTTTTAAAACGGCTAAGTGATATACCATTGTGTAAATAAATGTACATTTTATTTATACATTCATCTTTTGAGGGACATCTAGGTTGTTTTCAGTTCCTGACTATTATGAATAAAGTAGCAGAGGCCATGGTTGAGCAAGTTTCTCTGTGGTAGGATGGAGCATCCTTTGGTTATATGCTCAAGAGTGGTATAGCTGGATCATGAGTAAAGCAGCTCACATCTTCCTGAGGAGTTGCCACATGATTACCATAGTGATTGTACAATGAATGAATGCTTACCTTACTCCACATTTTTGTCAGCACGAGTTGTCATTTGTCTTACTGATCTTAGCCATTCTGATAGGTGTAAGCTGAAATCTGTAAGTAGTTTTGATTTACATTTCCCTGATGACTAAGGATGTTGAGCATTTCTTTAAATGCTTCTCAGCCATTTAGATTTCCTCTTTTGAGAATTCTGTTAAGATCCGTACCCCATGTTTTCTTTTATTGAAATTTGATTTCTTTTTCTCAAATAATATATCCTGATTATGGTTTCCCCTCCCTCTGCTCCTCCCAGTTCCTCCCTACCTCCTCTCCCATCTGGATCAACTCCCTTTCTGTTTCTCACTAGAAAAGAAACAGGCTTCTAAGGGATAATAAATAAAATAAAGTAAAACTCTTACTTCAAAGTTGGACAGGACAAAAGAACAGAAGGAAAAAAGTTCAAGAGAAGGCTCAGGAATCAGAGGCCTACTCATTTGCAAACTCAGGAATCCCATAAGAACACTAAATTGAAGGCCATAAAATAATATGCAGAGAACCTGGTACCGACCTGGAAAGGTGCTTGTTTGCTGCCTCAGTCTCTGAGTTTATGTGACCCTTAAACATGTTGATTTCTAAGGCTTGTTTTCTTGGTGGCCTCAGTCCTCTCTGGCTCTTATACTTTTTCTGCTTCCTTTTCCACAGGGCTCCCTGAACTGTGAAGGGAGGGATTTGATGGAGACATTCCATTTAGGGCTGAATATTCTGAGGTCCCTCTCTGTCTGACTGTGGGTTTCTATATTTATTCTCTGATTATGACTGAGCTAGGCACTGTAGATCTGTACCCATTTTCAAATTGGGTTGTTTTCTTGATATCTAGTTTTTTGAGTTCTTTATATATTTTGGTTTTTTTTCTTTATATATTTTGGATATTAGCCTTCTATTGGATATGTAGTTGGTAAAAATCTTTTCCCATTCTGTGTATAGTCTGCTGCTTTGTTCTATTGATGGTATTTGCTGTGCAGAAGCTTCTGAGTTTCACCAGGTCCCATTTATTAGTTGTTGATCTTAGTGTCTGTGCTAATGGTGTTTTGTTCAGAAAGTCTTCTGTGCCAGTGAATTTAAGGCGGTTCCCCACTTTGTCTATGAGATTCAGTGTATGCAGCTTTATGTTGAGTCTGGTCCATTTGGACTTAAGTTTTGTACAGCGTGATAAGTATGTGTCTATTTGGATTCTTCTACATTCAGCCATCCAATTTGACCAGCACCATTTGTTGAAGATGCTGTCTTTTTTCCAGTGTGTTTTTCTGGCTTCTTAAAAAAAAAAAAAAAATCAGATGTCTATAGGTGTGTGGATTCTCTGCATCTTCAGTTTGATTCCATTGACAGACATGTCTGTTTTTATGCCAATGCCATGCTGTTTTCATTCCTATATAGTTTACAATACAATCTGAGGTCAGGGATGATGAGACCTCCAGAAGTTCTATACTAGTCAGATTGTTTTGCCTATCCTGGTTTTTTTGTTTCCATGAAGCTGAAAATATTCTTTTCAAGATCTGTGAAGAATTGTGTTGGAGTTTTGATGGGGATTGCATTGAATCTGTAGATTAGTTTTGGTAGTAATGAGCATAGGAGATCTTTCCATCTTCTGATATCTTCTTTGATTTTTTTTCTTCAAAGACTTGAAGTTTTTATCATACAAGTCTTTTACTTGCTTGGTTAGAGTTACCCCAAGATACTTTGTATTATTTGTGGCTATTGTAAAAAGTGTTGTTTCCTGGGTTTCTTTCTCAGTCCATTTGTCAGTTTTATTTAGGAGAGTTACTGATTTTTATGAGTTAATTTTATATCCAACTACTTTGCTGAAAGTGTTTATCAGCTGTAGGGAGTTCCCTGGTGGAATTTTTAGGGTCACTTATATATGCTATCATATCATCTGAAAATAAAGATACTTTGACTTCTTCCTTTCCAATTTGTATCTCCTTGATAAGGATTAAATTTGGTTTTATCATAGAATGTCTTACTTTTTCCATCTATGGAAATTGAAAGTTTTAGTCGATATAGTAGTCTGGGCTGGCCATCCATAGTCTCTTAGAGTGAGTAGAACATCTGTTCATGCCCTTCTGGCTCTAAGAGTGTCCATTTAGAAGCCAGCTGTTTTTCTGATAGGTCTACCTTTATATGTTACTTGGTCTTTTCTTTTGCAGCTTCTAATACTTTCTCTTTTCTGTGTATTTAGTGATTATTATGTGCCAAAGAGAATTTGTTTTCTGGTCCAGTCTGTTTGGTGTTTCTGTATTTTTAAAAGCTACCAGCAAGATAGTGCAGCAGGTAAAAGCCATTTCCATGCTAACTTGGCAATCTGACCCACAAAGAGGTAGAAAGAGCATACTTAACCCCATAAATTTGTTCTCTTCTGTCCACATATGTGCTGTGGTACATTCTTACCCTCCCCACATGCGCGAGCTAATGATGGTAAGTTGGGTCTGGTGGCACAGGTCTGTAACCTCAGTTACTTAGGCTGTTGATGTTAGAATTCAAGTTCAAGGCCAGTCTGAGCAAGATTCCCTCTCAAAGTAAATAACACACAGACATTCTGGGCAGTGTGAACTGGGGAAAAGGCATCCCCTGTGTAAGTATGAACACACCACACCCATGACTGTTCCCCAGTCTTCACCACCAAATCATAAGATGTTTGCAGATTCATACAGCCTTGTATTAGAAAGAGCTAGTCTCATGTGTTCAAGCTTTGGGAAAAAGAGATGGTTGCTGAACTGAATAGTACCATGAAAAGTGAAGCTGGACATGGGCATTGCATAGGACTGTAATCCCAGCACTGGACAGAGACTGAGACAAGAGGAGCTACATGGTGAGAGGCTATCTTCAAAGAATTCTGAAGAGGGGCTAGAGAGATGGCTCAGGGGTTAAGAGCCCTGACTGCTGTTTCAGAGGACCCATGTTCAATTCCAAGCACCCACATGGCAGTTTACAACTGTCTGTAACTTCAGTTCCAAGGGACCCAACACCCATGGCAAAACACCAATGCGCATAAACAACAGCAACAACAAAACATTCTAAAGAAACAGATGAGGGTATAGTTAGTGCAAGACCTTGGTTTCAGTTCCCAGAACTGCAAAATAAATCAATCCAAGTAGCAACTGCCTCCCTTTCACTGCTTTCCTATTGTGCAGGATAATTTGATTGCTCCTGTTTTTAATATTATAAATGTAAGGAATCACTAGATTTTAAGACTTTTTTAAAAATCTACTTGCCTAATGCAGCAGTGCATTGTATATGACTGCAGTGTGTATTCTGCTGCTGGCTAGCAGTAGTGCATATGTATAGAACCTTCTACTTGATGATTTGCCCTTAATTATTGGATTTGATGATTGAGTAGTAAGTAAATATCACAACTACCATTCTTTCAGAGGGGTCATTTTAAAAATAGACTCATTTATTGCTGATTAATTTTTAGAGATTATTTCTTTTTATTCTCTTTTCCATTTAAAGGTGAGTCGCTCATCTTTGCTGATAGACCAACCTGTGAAAAAGAGGCCTCTTTTGGATAATCAGGTGGTGAATTCTGTGTGTGTTCAGCCAGAACTACAGAATAACACAAAGCATGCAGATAATTCATCTGACACTGAGATGGAAGACATGATTGCTGAAGGTCTGTGGTTCCCATCAAAGTTTTTCTTTAACTATGACTTTTATTGCTTGAAATAGGATAAACTTTTTATTCTGCATAGGTTTTCACTTGGAAAGAATTTAGTTTTGCTTACATACAGTGAGTATGTGAACACTCTATTAACCAGAATAATGGGTGCGCTAACCACTCTGATAACTCAGTAACTAGGAGAGCAGTAATATTGGTGCTGATTTGTACAGTAGATTTCTAGTGAGGGAAAAGCAATTTAAAAGTTTCTGAATCAGAACAGTCAATTCTTGCTTTTAAAAAGCAGACCTAATAAGTAACAAATGAGTGTTTTACTGAATTTGCTTCAAAATATAGAGCATTTAGGTGTGTGGTTTTAGATTTATTCTTGTGATGGGTGTTATAAACTGGGTATTACAGTTACATTCAGGGTGTTCTCTTCAGCCAATAGATGATAACATTTGTTCTAAGAAAAAAAATACTGTTAATCTCCTTACTGTCCCAGCTCCTTTTCAACTGACTATACTCTAATACCAGATATCCCTTAGAAGTCAAACTGATAAAAATGGTTGAGGTAAACACAAAACTGATGTTCTGTGCCTTTTAGATCACCTATTTATAGTTAGCAAAGCTTGTACTTTTTTTTTTTTTTTTTTTTAATTTTTCGAGACAGGGTTTCTCCGTAGCTTTTGGTTCCTGTCCTGGAACTAGCTCTTGTAGACCAGGCTGGCCTCGAACTCACAGAGATCCGCCTGCCTCTGCCTCCCGAGTGCTGGGATTAAAGGCGTGCGCCACCACCGCCCGGCAAGCTTGTACTTTTTTAAAAATGGGATTCTGAATGTGTGCTTAAAGAAATAACCAATGAAACAAAACTACCTAGCTGTATTGTGTAGGAGTCTTCATAAGAGATTGTTCTTATCATTTGATCATGGCCCTTCAGTTGATGATATTCAGTCTGAAGTGTTTAGTCAGGGGCTTATAATAGTAAACTCATTAACATCTTTGTCTTTGTAATTATCCTTAGGATCTCTAAAATTAATTTATTCTTTTGCAAATACTCATTTAATTTATGTTTCTTTATTGTGTTTTTTTTATTTATTTTTATTTCACGTGTATTGGTGTTTTGCCTCCATGTATGTCTATATGAGAGCGTCAAATCTCCTGTTAGAGAAGGTTGTGAGCTGTCATGTGGGTGCTGGGAATTGAACTTGGGTCCTCTGGAAGAGCAGCCAGTGCTCTTACCTACTGAGCTATCACCCCAGCCCCTTATTGGGTGTTTTTACACAATGTTAAATTTACCAAAGTGGCATGTTGGTAAGTAAAACCGTCATCCTTCAGATTCTTAGAGGGTGGCACCTGCCGTTGGTAGTGTTTTATAAGCTGTTGTGAAGTAGTCAACATTTTTACTTCTTATTTGAACCACCAAGCCTGTAATAGTATAACATTTGACTTTTACTAATGTTTGGTTATTTTGAGCTCAGTTTCATTTTTTTTCTGTGTAGAAGATTCCTAACCATGAAGCACTCTAAACATGCATTCAGTTAGAGAGAGCTGTGTGCTCTTCCCTTATCCCTAGGTCCATTGCTATGAACGGTCTCATGTCATGCATCGTTTTGTTTGCTTCTCTCCCAAACTTCCCTTTGCTGCCTTTCTTTCCTACTTCTCCTCCATCCTTTCCTCCCCCTTTATGAAAGTTGTAGCCATTTTATTTCACTGATATAGTATGTATCTCTTAAAAGCAGATATTTTCTTACATAATTAAATGACAAAATTAATAATTCTTTGGTGTAATACCTGATCCATATTCAGATTTTCTTAGTTATTTGAAGCATATTCTTTCACAGTCATCTGATTAGCATCAGGATCCAAACAAGGTCACCATGGTGACTTTCATTATTAGAATTTAATTTTATTTATTTTAATTCTCAAATACATGTTTTTAATTAGTTGATTATATGTGAGGACATTTCATATTTTAGATGAAAAGTAGTGAAGATGAATGTTTAGGTTTTCTTTTTTCTTCTTTTGCTTGTATCTGTAAGAAGTATATAAATGAAAGTTCTGGGCTAAAATGTGTTTGTCATGTCAACCCTGCTGAATAGACAGAAGGAGCATGGACTTCTGGGAAGTTTTAGAACATGTTTCATGATATTTGTAGTTTATAAAATATAATGGGCAACATATAGCATTGCTAGTGTGCCTGCATATGAAAGGTATGTACAGAAAGACATGAAAGCATACCCTCCTTCCCATAAGGAACTGTTTGTTTTGTTGGAGATTAGGGAATCTCCATTCCAGAGCAGCAAATGTTAGATTTCGATAACAAGAAGACAGAACTAGCTGAAGTTATTTTCAGCTTGGTGAATTTCTTAAGAGTTTGATCTCTGTTTTATGTTAAACGAGACAAGGAGCAAGCCTAGATCTAAGATAACAGGCAGGAAAAACAGTTCTGATCAGGATGTGAACAGATGTACAGAGGATGTAGGAGCACATCGAAATTCACCACGCTGTAAATAACAGAAGGACCCTGGGTGAAGACCTCGGGCTTGAGGGGATTTTATGGATGAAGACCTAGGACTTGGGGGGTTTATTCAAGTTTTTGTGGCAGTTGTAATAAACTGAAAAGGGTTTAGCTTTGTGCTGGTCATCTCTGTTGGATGTATTAGAGGTCTGGCATATGACTGACACCTGCAGTCTTAAGTGGGGAGAGGAAGGGGCGGACTAAAGGGAGACAGGACAAGATGCTACAGAAGGAGAAGAAAATCTAAAGATGGCTAATATATTTCAGAGTAGAGAACTATATTACACAGTGCCGGGTGGTGGTGGTGCATTCCTTTAGTCCCAGCACTCGGGAGGCAGAGGCAGGCAGATCTCCGTGAGTTCCAGTCCAGCCCGGTCTACAGATCTAGTTCTAAGACAGCCAGGGCTACCAAAGAAATCCCCCTGTCTTGAAAAACCAAACCAAAACAAACAAGCTAACATTTTTTTTTTATTGATTTTTATTGAGCTCTATTTTTCTCTGCTCTCCTCCCTGCCTCTCCCCTTCCCTTCAACCCTCTCCCAAGGTCCCCAAGCTCCCAATTTACTCAGGAGATCTTGTCTTTTTCTACAAGCTAACATTTTAAGTCTTTCATAGTTTTAATTTTCCAAGGCCATTTTATAATTTCGGCATTTTTTATTGTATAAACCAGTATTCATGCAATAAAATTTAGAGTAAAATGGTGTGATCATTTACTTTGTGGCTGTGTTTTTTTTTTGTGAATAATTTCAGTTTAAAAACCACCCATTTTTAAGATAAGCAAACTATTAAATTCATGGTATGTACCATTTGCTTCTCTGCTACTGTGATAACCTTGGCCAAAGCCAGCTTGGCAGGGGAAGGGTTATTTCAGCCCATTATCAAAGGAAGCCGAGGCAGGACCTGAATCAGAAACCATGAAGGAACACTGCTTACTGACTTGCTCAGCTTGCTGATTTGTACAAAACCCAGGAGTGGCACTGCCCACTGTTGGCCCACCTCAATCTTTTATTTAAAAAAAAAAAAAGCTCCAAAGACATGCCCATAGGCCAACTGCTGGAGGTGATTCCCCATTTGAGTTCCTTCTGGTTGACAAAAAAATCAGTACAGTTAATGCAAACACTTTTAAACTTTAACCTTTCCTTTCTTGTGCACCTCAAGATCCCATATTAGTATCACAATATGAAACGTATTCCCACTTTTATGTGTGAGTGCTCTGTCTTCATGTACACCAGAAGAGGGCATCAGATCCCTTGTAGATGAGTGTGAGCCACTATGTGGGTGCTGGGAATTCAACTCAGGATCTCTGGAAGAGAAGCCATCTCTCAGCCCCAGTACTCTTAGTCCTTACGTGGAAACTGTGAAGTGGAGCAGACATCCATGTAATAGTTACTTCAGCTCTTTGGGAAAGGTCATGAAGATTGAGCTGTTTACTTTAGGTGCCTGAAGGAAGAGGTAATAGTGAAGGAGAGGGTTTTAAAAAGGTTGGGGTTGGGGTTAGGACTAGCATTCTTACTCAGCAGGGAGCACCCTAGAAAATGCACCAGTAGTTGGACATTATGACACTGTTTGAGATTTTAAAAGCAGAATTAATTTTATTTAATACTAAAAGGAACTGTTTTATAAATTGACAGTATATCTTTATAAAATTAGTCATACACTGCACATAATATTTTACTTTTTTTTTTTTTTTTTTCGAGACAGGGTTTCTCTGTAGCTTTGGAGCCTGTCCTGGAACTCCCTTGGTAGACCAGGCTGGCCTCGAACTCACAGAGATCCGCCTGTCTCTGCCTCCCAAGTGCTGGGATTACAGGAGTGCGCCACCACCGCCCGGCAGCACATAATATTTTATATGTCTTACTAAAATCAAACATACAGAAGTGTCTCCATTTTGAAACCAGTCTCCTCTCCATAGGAATTTAAAGGGTTTCTCTGCTGTCACCAAATTCATATGTCACATTCTGCCTTTTGAAATTGTTTCTTTCTAGTGGACCATGAGTACATGGCCCTCATTTCATTTCTCAGTGTTTGTAACTCATACATTGCTGTTTGTACATTCTAGACATGCTGAATTCTTAGCAAAACTAGCCTATGCTTATTTGTATAGATGAATTTATTGTATAGAAAAAAAAAACATCATTCTTATGTAGAAACAAGGAATTAGTAGGAGCCCAGCCAGAGTAGCTCTGGATCCAAAGAAGGTGAAGAAATCTTGATCTGACAATGTTGTGTAACTAAAATTAGAGGCTGAAAGAAATTTTGACCACTCAGAGTTTTGGCTTTTCCCTTCTTTTTTTAGAGACATTAGAAGAAATGGATAGTGAATTGCTTAAGTGTGAATTCTGTGGAAAAATGGGATATCCTAATGAATTTTTACGGTCAAAACGATTCTGTACCATGTCATGTGCCAAAAGGTATGTTGGTGTTCTTGGATTTGTTTATGAGAACCAGTAACTTTTGCAAAAACGTCAAGACGTGGTTATAGATGAGCTTTGGTAGGAATTAGCTATGGTAACAACGGGGAAGGTTAGGTCAGCAGCCACTTACTCTGTGTCTCGTTACTAGAATTTACTAAGTAAATTTTATGTACTAATAATGCAGTTTCATAGTGAATACTCATGAAGCATCAGTCATCTGGTACAAGGATATGCTTTGGAGAATCTCTCCTATAGCATATGTAAGTATATGATAGAATATTAATTTTTGTGTTTTAAAAATCATAACTAATTAATTACTAATTAATTTTGAAATTAATTTTTTTATGTAGGGTCTTGTATTATAGCCCTGGCTGACCTGAATTGACTGTATAGACCAGGCTGGTTTCCAACGTTCTATGGCCCTCCTGTTTCTGCTTCCCAAGTGCTGGGATCATAGCCATGTACCACCATCCCAGATAGAACCCTGGTCTGTAAAGATTAATACAGGTCATAGCAATGTACCACCATACCAGATAGAACACTAGTCTATAAAGATTAATACGGGGCCTGGAGAGATGGCTTAGCAGCTACAAATACCAGATGCTCTTTTGGAAGACCTGGGGGGTATGCTTAGGTTAATTATTTTGAAATTTATATTCTCTTAAGAAGTCAGTGATTTTCTTGTTTGACCATACCATTTTGTATACTTGTCACAGAACTACCTTTAGTGAGAATAATAAAAGTAAATTTCTATCAAAAGTGGACTCATTGCTTCAGTTCATTACTCAAATGTTTATTCATGATTAGTAGTAAGTCTATAAGATTATGTAGGATTTATGCTCTAACTTGAATTTCACTTTGCATGAAACACATGAAAGAACAGCAAATTTCTGTTGCTGGTCAAAACCACTTACAAATTGTGAAATGGTCTGTCTTTCAGGGTATTCTGAACCTCTTGGATGTTTAGAAGTATACCAGGATATTTAACACTGTCTGCCACTCCCTTTCCCAGACAGGGACTACTTCATATGAACCTCTTTCAGTCAGGGACCCTAGCACAGTGAAGCCTGGCTGACAGAGCAAGGAAGAGAGGAAGAGTCAGGTCAGGGAAGTGCTTGGCTGTCATTCTTGGAGAGCTAAATATATAAGGATTAATTGCCAGGCACAAGACTAGTTCTCTCCTTTCTTCAGTAGTAAGTTTTGTCACCTGATATGTTAGTTATATCAGAACGTCACTTTGCTGAGCCCACAGATAAACCCATAGGAACACAGCAGGACTTCTTCAGTTATTTCAGTGGCTCTCAGGGACATTTGCATCTTTAGAGAACAAATAGTCTATTATTTCTCAGAGTTTTCCTTACTTCCATCTCTGATATTTTCATAAAACATAGGTAAACAAAATTACATATATTATTCTAGAATAGTTATCAGTAACAAAATTAATATGTGTATTTTGCCTCTAAAAATATATGTGCACTTTGTGTGTGCCTGATAGAGAAGCCAGAAGAGGGCATTGGAGCCCCTAGACTTGGGGGTTCAGGCAGTTGTGGTCTTTCATTGTGTGCTAAGAACCAAACCCTAGTGTCCACATGTGTAGATATGTCTGCATACATAATGTACTCTAGTACCTGCATATACATTAAAAGCAAAAGACAAAGCAAAACTCCAAATATATTACTTGTCAAATAGTTTAAATAAGCTCTGGAAATATTTATTACAAAGTATCTCTTCTGGAACCATGAATTTTCTTGCTATGTTGCAAGTTATCTTCTGCATTTTGCAGGTTTTTCATTATTTTTCTATAATCAGGAGAAAATACCATTACCTTGTTATAGGTATCCAGTATTATGTTGAGAGATATTTTATAATATACACAGAGGCTATTTTTGACCTGTAGGTTAAATTAATCCATTCAATAAGATAGCTGTACTTTGTGAGATATTATAGTCCTTAATAATTGTCTAGTACTTTCTATGTCACAATTGTACTTTAAAATTACAGTTAGATTCTAAATTGGTTGTTCCATATTTTGCTTGATTTTTCTTTCTTGAATTTCTTAGGTACAATGTTAGCTGTTCTAAAAAATTTGCACTTAGTCGTTGGAATCGTAAGCCTGATAATCAAAGTCTTGGGCATCGGGGCCGTCGTCCAAGTGGCCCTGAAGGAACAGCAAGAGAACATATCCTTAGGCAGGTCTGTAGAAAGCTTGCTTCAATGTACAATGTCCTTTTCAGAAATGCAAGGGAAGTGCAATGCTGTATTTTACTTTACTGCATTTTCCAGCTTCCAATTACTTATCCATCTGCAGAAGAAGACTTGGCTTCTCATGAGGATTCTGTGCCTTCTGCCATGACAACTCGTCTGCGCAGGCAGAGTGAGCGGGAAAGAGAACGCGAGCTGCGTGATGTGAGGATGAGGAAAATGCCTGAGAACAGTGACTTGCTTCCAGTTTCACAGACAGAGCCCTCTATATGGACAGTCGATGATGTCTGGGCCTTCATCCATTCTTTGCCTGGTATGTGACTCCCTTAGCCTGGATGCTTTCCTTGTGCCTTCACAGGAAAGTGACATTATGTCCATCCACAGCTTTGGCATTCAAGGCTAGAGAAACTGTGCATTTGCTATTGAAATGTGACCTGCTCCCTCTTACCTATCCTCAGAATGAGGACACTCCTTCATGCCCCCAAATGAGTGAAAAACGGACTGACTAGTCCTGCCATTGCTCTGGTGCCCAGTCGGTGAATAGTAAGGTGCTCTCTTCTCTGTCCTGATCTCTGAGGGCAGGAGAGTGAATCAGACACTTCTCCCCTTCTGCTTGTCTATTTTCTAATCATTTTCCTTTTCATTTCCTCAGCCGATTCTTTTAGAAACTGAAACAAGAAAGACGTGCATATATTTTTGAAAGCTAATTCACACTGTAGAGTAGGACAAACTTGATTCCTTTGTAAAAACGTGACATCCGTTCTAATGCTGAGGGTAACTTCTTATGTCTGCCTGCTCTCTGATACTTACCCACTAGCTTCAGCTTCCCCTCCCCCTCTTTTGGGTTTTTGAGACAGGGTTTCACTGTGTAGCTCTGGCTGTTCTAGAACTCACTCTATAGGCCAAGCTGGCCTCGAACTCTCAGAGATCCATCTGTCTGTCTCTGCCTCCCGAGTGCTGGGATGAAAGGCGTGCCCCACTACCACCCGGCTAGACTTTCTTGTTTTACTGAGTTCATTTGCATTTAATATCATTACATATCATTAAGAAGAGACAGCGTTGATTGGTTCTATTTAGGCCGTCCTCCCTCCCTCCCTTCCTTGCTGATGAAATGGGAGTATTTATGAATTGCTTTAACCAACCAAATAATCCTATTTGTGCAGTCAGTTACTGCCTTTCCAAAAGTTTATCTTAGAGTAGCTTAGGGTAAATCTTACACTAGGAAAATGTGTTTCGCTTTCTGCCTCTCTGGCATTTATAAATATCTTTCTGAGCTCCTTCAGGCTGTTTCCTTTTCCTGAGTATTTTTACAAGCTTTTCTTATAGTGGGAACAAGCGTATACATTTTGTGATGTCTTACATTTTCTTTCCAGATAGGATGAGCTTCCTTGTAGTCAGGGCCCCTGTATTTTCACTCCTGGGTTTCTGTTATTTTTGTGTGTTATCGTGTTATTAAGTACTCAGTGGGTCTATGTTAAAGCACCCAGGTAGGAGATTCAGTCTCAGAGCTGTTAGGGTGAGAAGTACCATGAACTTGTGGGCACAGAGCCCTTCTGGTTAACCAGTTGCAGGCTATCTTCTGTACTGTCCTTTAGTGAACTGCCCTTTTGGAAAGACTGTTCTATGCTGATCTGTGAATCCATAGATTGGATTTCTCTTTAGGAATGTAAAGTAGGAATTTTTTTTTTAAAGTATAACTCTTTCTGTATATGTCTTTGGGGACATGTTTATACAGCAGTATTGAGTGGACATGTTTATACAGCAGTATTGACTGGCACTTGGTGTCTTTCCTGCAACTTTAGTGAGGTCAGTTTGTGCATAGAATGTTTTGATTTAGATTTCAAAGTGGGAGAATTGATTGTGGACACTGGAAAATTCAGGTGGGACACGAGCAGGGCCAGTGTGTTACCTAGAGCTGTTTACTCGGTCACGAGGTGCCTCCTTTGTGTGTAATGTACTCAGTGCTTGGCCTCAGGGTGTTGGGCTCTCACAGAACTTTTACTCTGACTATCTTGAATACTTAAAAAACCATCTTGTTTTTCCTCAGTGAGTTTCTAGATGTGTGCTTGTCTCCTTTCTATAAGTCACTTTATATTTTTTTCATTTCTGTGCTAATGATACTTTTTGTGGTTGGCTTGAGAAAATTGGGATCTAAAAATGGTAACACATATTATTTAATCATGCTGTTTCCAATACACTTTAAAATTATTTTGCTAGCGCCTTTACTGTCTACCTACAAACTGACATCTGTAAAGGAACCCCAGTCAAGAGGAAGAAGAGCATGCTGAGTACTTCCTCTCAGGAGCTTTTTATTTCTCTTCCCAGTGCAGCTTTTGTGGTCCCCTCTCTTTTACTCCTCATTTCTGAATCTAAGTAAGCCTATCCTCTCTCTCTCTTTCCTTCCCTGGTTCTTATAAATAAGACTGGAGAGAAGAACCTTAGTTCTTCCATAAAAGAAGGATGAAGTCACAACTAGATGCAAGATTAGTCAGTTTTGTTGAGAGCTACCTCTGGGAAAAGAAAAAGGGGCTTTTCTATGGTGAGTAATCCCGTTTCATCTATATGTGTGGTACTTGGGCAAAACCATACAAATCATATACAGGACTTTGAAATATAAATTTTTTGAAAGTCTGAGAAATTACCAAAATAGAGAAATGAAAAGCTAGATGCTCTATAAGATGCAGTAAAGGAAGAAATAACAGCCAGTAGGGACACTGAGGAAAATGATGGCCACGTGAACACATGCGTGAAGCATGTTACTCCACAGACAGCTCTCCACAGTGGGTGACGTTTTTCCAGTCAGTCATTTCTTCATCCATCCTTACGTAGATGTCTGCTGCACTGTAGTGCTTTGGGGGTGCTCCTGTGTCTGTGGGTAGACCTTGTCATCTTACAAGCTCGATGATGACATTCACAATGGAAAGGAGAATCATCCTAGCAAAGTGTTGTATTCCAAGGTGCAAATTAATCATTTTATTTTCTAATCATCTGTTTCCGTGATTCCCCCTTGGAATACTGATTTGAATACAGAAAGGCCGTATAGCTGTTAGGTCTTGTTCTTAAGCTAACTTTATACTTTCACTGTTTGTAAGGAAGCTTTCATGTTTTTGCATTCTCTTCTCTTTGGGCTTTTTAGTTCATTACTGAGCTTAAAGGTCTCTTTCCTATGATAGGAATGATTGGGTATTTTGGTAGGCCATAGAATAGTGGGGTTTAGATAGTAAGAGCCTACTTTAGGTTGAGGCTTTGCACTGCTTGCTTGGTAGAAGATTGCCAGGTAAGATCTCATGATCTCAGAGACAGCTTGCTTTGCACTGTTTTATTTTTACCAAAAAGTTAAGGTGAAGAGTGCTAAGGGGTGTGGTGACGTGTTAAGAGGTAGAGCACTCGCCTGCCATTCTCAGGGATCTGGGTTCTAAAAAACAGATGGGGGCTAAGGCACGTTCCTGTAATCCATGCATGTATGTAGGAAAACAAGGTAAGTTCAAGACCAGCCTACAGGCTAACAGAAAAATGAGTAGAAATGAGTTGAGTGATGTTAAGCTTTGAAGTTGACATTACGAGTTGAACAGTATGGTGTTTGTCAGCAGTCCTGTAATATGTAATACTGGGGGGTTTGTTCTCTTCTGAGGGAGCAATACAAATATTTTAGACACACTTGGAGTCATGTGAATTCAAAGAAGGTTTGGGTGGTCATGGAAGTTTAATCTGACATTTGAGAAAATATTTCCAGATTATTATTTATGGCATAACATTTTATTCCTCTCTGCCTATATGTGAAGTTATCTTTTGGGAAGATGAGCCCATGAGGTGTAAAGCCTCAGAATGAAGTCATTTTTGCATGGGAAATGCAATGTATTGACTGATTGCTCTTACCTATTGTTATTATTTCTGCACTGTTTTTAAAAGCAAGATTTCCAAGTAAACTTTCCTTGGTTTTGACTTCTTCAAGGATAAAGCCCAGGCTTACCAAGACAATGGTTTATTAGCTTCTGTTGCAAACTCTCAGACCCAGGGACAGAACAATTGTCACTGTTAGGAGCTCCGTCTAATTGTGTGTAACTCTAACCTTCTTCTCCTGGAATTCCAGGCTGCCAGGATGTTGCAGATGAGTTCAGGGCACAAGAGATTGATGGACAGGCCCTGCTCTTGCTAAAAGAAGACCATCTCATGAGTGCAATGAACATCAAGCTGGGCCCAGCCCTGAAGATTTGTGCACGCATCAACTCTCTGAAGGACTCTTAACAGGAACTCAGGACGTTGATGTAATATCAGTTTTATCCCTCTTAATGGTAATGGTAAAGCCTCATTTGGCTGAGAATATCAGACTGATGATGGAAGGCCAAGCACTTTGGGACCGCCACTTGCAGTGCCGACATTTCTCTTCAGATACCCTAACTCATCATACATTTTCATAATTAGCCAACATTGGTAAAGTTAATTTTACCAGTTACATACAACACTGAAAGACTTGTTACAGAGGCCCATATTTTTCAAAGAAACATGTTATACTAGATAATTTTTTAAAGGTAATGTTTATCATTAGTATAAAAGAAGCCTTTTAAAAATAATTGATTTACACCCCCCCTCCTTTGATTCTGTTTTCTTATACATTTTTCTACCCTGTTAGTTTTCCAAAGGTTATCATAGAGTTATAAGGTAATTTAGGAGCCCATTGACAGAATCGAATGCAATGAAGTATCAGTATGTTTAAAAAACATATCTTCCTGACAAATGCTTTGTCTTTAAAACAGGATTGTGTTCTTGCATAAGCAGTATTTATGGAGGTCACAAATGTCTGTATTCTAGACTTCACCCAGATCGGCATGACTGACAGTTTTCCTCTTGGTTTTGTACATTAAGAGCAATAGTTCTCAGTGGAGAGGTCTCTTTTTGTCCTCCAGGGGGCATTTGGCAATCTCTAGACACATTCTGGTTACCACAGCCTGTGGCTGTTACAGGAATCGAGGAGGTGGTAGTGGCAGCCAGAGGTGTTGCTGAAAGCTCTTCAGTGCACAGGACTATTACCAAGAGTGACCTGTTAGAGATGCCAGTAGTGCCAAGGTTCAGAAGCTGGTGCGCAAGGAGTGCCGCGTGTTGGTCTTTTTCACGTGCAGGGAGCATACTTTAAAGATAAGGTCTGATAAGGAGTACCTGTATAGCGAAGTATTATTCAGATGGCATTAATGTTCTGCTGAAGTATTTTTTTTTTTTTTTACACTTTAACTGTATACTAGAAAAGGGAAGAAAATCCGTAAAACTGGTCTACAAGATTAGCGTAATTTACAGAACATGTGACTGATGGGTGTACGGCACTGGTCACCTTTTCCTGACTGTTGCCCTGTACTGGTGAGTCATGCCTGGGAGGGTTGGCAGTGGGGTGTGACCCGTCCGTGTGCTCTCGGAGCGACCCTGCCTGGATTCTTCCCATAAAGCATTGAAAGTGATTTCTCTTAATCGAGTGTTCACTCAGCAGTTATTTTTTGTAGAGTTAGGATGTTAAGACAGAAATTTCTGTGGGTGCTCTGAGAGCCTTAAGTGCTGGGCATCAGAAGATCTTTACTACATCATCGAGAAATCTCAACAGTTAAAGGAGCGGCTCACAAATCCTGGCCACAGACGTAAGAGACAGCAGAGTCTAAGCTTACTCATCTTCACTGCTTTTTCCAGAGACTCTGTTGAGCCAGTAGAAGACTAACAGATGTCACAAAGGTATCACAAATATTTATCTTTTGTGTTTGTGTACATTAGAAAATGTTGGTTATTTTTATACAAAAATATAGTGGGTAATTTTTTTAATCTTTAGATGCCTCTTGTTTGAATGTATGCTTTGTGGGACTGTTAACGTAGTAGTTGAAGAGGTGTTCACTGTAGTCCTGTGTAGACTCAGAATGTGAAAGTAGCAGGAGGCTCATGTTTCAAACCTACAGTAGTATAGTCTCTGTTACATATTTCTTTGCATCACATTTTGTTATTAACGTTTCTAGAAAGGTAGGTACTCTCCAGTCCATCTCATTTATTAGTAGTAATGAGTCGTCATGGGAGTTGTCATAGATTTTCCCCTCATCCTCCTAAACATAGACTAAGCAGCACTCAGAGATTGCTACTATATGAAGGAGGCACAAAGGTAGATTTCCTCTGGAATTAAAACTGGATTGTAGTAATCCACAGTTAATACAGAGTTGATTGTCCAGTATAGACCTCCAGCAATAATGCTTCCCCTCTTGCAAATGCTTATATATATAACATTTAAGGTATTAACTCTACAGTTCTACTAGAACCAGCCCACTGTGTGCTTATGAGAAGCCCCTGGGCCTAGCACTGCCTTTAAGTATCCCTAAGCAGCGTACAAGAAGAGTTTCTGCTGGAGAATGCCTTCTTGTCCTTAATCTTAGATGTAGTCCAGATCTTCTGTTGTCCGCACTTAAATTCAACAAGAAAATACACTTTTTTCCCCTATAAGTGGGTTGTTTTATTAAGAAATGGCTTATTTGCTGTCATTTGGTAGTTCTCCCATTGCTGCAGGTATTTCTTTAATTTAATCATCCTAATTTGAAAGCTTTAATAATATGTATGTCCCTCTCTCTCCTGAGCACTAGACTGTTCAGTAGGACATAGATAGGAAGAATGCCAGTTTCATTCCCTGTTGTATTACTAAGTGCTTTAAGAACTTTCCTGGAGGAAAAAAAAAATGACAAGCAGAGGGGAATATGGGTTCATCCTATTTTTGCTACTCGAGTTTGCATTTCCTTACTTTAAACCCCTTTCCACCATGGGACATACCTTTCACATTTTATTTGTTTTAAGTTCTATGTTCTTAGGGAAACAAACAGCTGGGTTGTAAAAGTTACTTTATATGACAGTACTTACAAGCTTTGTGTAGACGTGTGCAGGGCACAGCTACACAGCTTCATTATAAATCAGCACAGCAGAGGAATGCTGTCTTCGTGACAGCTTTGAGGGCAGGGATCTGCGATGGTTACATTCACTTCCATTTGTGTGGAGTTCTAATTGTGACATCCAGGTTAAAGCTTCACCTGGGAGGAGAGATGCAGAAAAGAGAAGAGAGATGGCGGTGAATGAGCTAGATAGAGAGTGGCTAAGAGGCAAGTGGGACTTCCCACTTGTGTTAGTTCCATTATTGCAGCATTGAACACGTTTCTGCACTTTTTGGGTTACCTAAATAAATAGAAGTGGGTTTTTTTTGTGTGTGTTTTAGGAATCCTGCTGCTTTCCTCTTTTTGTTGTTTGTATTGAACCATGCTTTTGAATAATTTTTTACATAGTCAATCTTCATATAATAAGTGCAAAATTGTTAGTCACAGATCTGTTTACGAGTCTTGGATTGACGTCTTGCACAGGACACAGTTTCTTACAAGTTTGTTTAGTCGTGTGCCTCAGAACTCAGAGCCATGCTTTAAGGGACTCAGTACGATCCTGAACCAGAGAGGTAGGGAAGAGATAGAGTCATGTGATTTTAGGCTTTGATTTCATGTGTATGTGTGATTTTAGAATAAATTATTACTGATGCATGTGAATGAAGCTGATCTTGCAGCTGCTGTCATTGTGTGAACTCTGACTGGTAATACTGTTAACACATTTCAGACGTGTTTTCAGCCTGAGAGGCTGTATGTTGCAGTTTGAAGACTTTCATCCTTTGTGATGCCGGCAACACTTGCTGCCAACTGGTATCATTAGTGGCATGGAATGGCTTCACCTCATTTCCTTCACTAAGCCCCTTTTGCCCCCAATCCTACCCCAAATAAGCTGCATAGAGCTTTCTTATTAGTTCTTGGCTTGGGGCTGGGTAGTATCCTGCTTGGAAATCTTCAGGATTTTGTAACGGGCTAGACCTTTATAACCATACCAGTTGTATTTCAATGAAAGGTTTGTCCATCTATGCAAATCATTTCCTAGGTATGTTTCTTGTGCACCGTACATCTAACTGTGTGACTAGTTGGACCTTGGACCCATTTTTTTTTTTTTTGTGGTTGGGAGCTGACAGGAAGATGACATGGCTAGCTAAATGAAGACATTTAACATGATGGTGGTCATTAGCAGCTTAGAAAGACCCATGGTGCTGGGTGGTTGGACTCCCACTGTAGCAATGTGAAGGTCTTACAGTGTGTTAGTTGTTCTGTTTGCTGGTACTAGGGTCTGCGGTCAGGGCTTCACACTCCACCTCTGAGCTTACATCCTGTGCTTTCTGCTTGATTGCCTTTACTAACCTGGAATTGTGATCCTCTGGCCTTCTTTCAAGTGCTGGAGTGCAGGTCTGTGCCACCATGCCAAACCTAGCCCTGGTGGTTTTAAATGTCAAGATTTGCCTTTAATCAAATGAGTTCTTTCTCTTATCACCTGACCCTGCTCTGAGGTGAGCTGATGTTACTGGTACCACTGGTACCCAAGTGAGTAGTCCTGAATTTCTAAGGATAACTAGTAAGAGGGGGAAAGAGAGTATCTGTCAGAACTTAGAAGTTGTTGTGAGTAGACAGAAATTAGAGGAGTTTCCACATTGGATATCACAGTTGACACAGTCTTCAGGGCACTGTAAGGCAGTTTGTGTCTCAGTCTGAGGATCAGTGACTGGCTCTTTCCCCTGACTGGGTCCCAGTAAGCACAAGCCTGCCTGTGTTCATGACATGAACTGTTTAACTCACAGCCACCAGTATTGATATCTTATCAGTCCATTTAGAATATTTTGTTTCATCTCAAAGATTAGTTTTCAGTTTAGATGAGTAAAAATAAGTGTTAGAAATAGTAAATATGTTACTAATATTTAATTTTAACCTATTGAATCATATAGCTTAAATTCTCTGTGTTAGAAGATTATAAAATGCATTACCCTATAGTTTATAGTTGAAATAAAAGCTGTTTCTTCAATTTAAAATGTTGAAAGTGACATTAGCTTTTTTAAAAAGTTACCTAAAATATTAAGACCTTATAAGTTGTGCGTATTAGTTCTAGAGTTCAAGCTACTTTGAAATTATACTAAGAGAAATTTTTCTTTTTATTTTTGAAAGTTACAAGGTACCAATTGAAAAACAGTTACTACCATCATGTTCCAGAGTAAAATATTAGCAGGTCCTGCCCTCTGTTGTGAAGTGGTCCCAGCTTCCCTAAGTCAGAGTCCCATGTGTGTCCACACTCTCTGGCAAGTGCCATCGTTACGGGAAATTATTTCCATGGTGATTTTATTTTTTTTCCCTTTTGGTAGCTTGTGGACATTGTGTTTTATTTAAAAATGCAATTAAAGTAAAATGTTAGGTACAAAATGAGATTCTAACACCTTATATTTAGGCAGAGGTCTTTCTGTTGCTTTTCAAGTGTACACCTACTGCTCTCTGTGATATTCCTAGTATTGGGTATGAATCTGTAGAAAGAAAAATTTTAAAGACGGTATGTAATGAATGAATTTTAATTTTGAAACAATCAGTATAAATTTAAAACATGCTAGCATGGCATAACTTTATGAAATATAAGAGGGATGTATTAAGTCCTTTTATACTGTCTAAATCAACACCAGTCGTCATCTTAGATGTCATAGTCCCTATTGGCTTAATGGAGTACGTCAGTGTTAACTGCTTTGTGGACTTTTCTCTGACAGTGGTGAAAAGGCGTGGAGATTACATCATTGAAACAAACAGGAACCCACTGTAGAAGGGACGTTTGTAGTCTTGCCTCAAGTAAACTAAATATGTACAGTGTTTAAAGTTCATGTACTTAGTACCTGTGTTAAGTGTTTTGGTAGTACTAAAAAATGAGCAAAATTGCTATTTTTCTTTAGTAGTGAGTAACATAAATCCACTAGCTGCATTGCCCTGCTGATGGAGATGAAACACTGTGGCTGTGAGCTTGGGATTGCTCCAGATGGCAAATTAGCTTGGTTTGTAATCTCATTTGAATGTGCAGTGTGATTCCTGCACTGTTGATTTTTGGCTTAAGTAATTACTGAAGAAATATCCTCCCCCAGCTCTAAAACTAGTCCTGAGCTCCATAATTGGGATTACCACAGGTGACTGCACCTGTTCATCCATTTGTCACTACTGGACACTTCGCTGTGTGCAGCACATACGACTAAAAAACAAAGTAACAAATCCAGTCTTCCCAGACAACCTCACTGCTGCTTAAGCATATATGTACTTACTCCCAGTTAATGCCCTGTTGCCTGGGAACTGGGGTTATTAACAACCGAGGGGTCCAGTCATATCACCCCTCTCATACTGCACATCTGTCGACAACAGTGAGAACACCTGCCGTGACCGCTGTGAGGGCTGTGACAGGCAGTGTCAGACTAGTCCTGGGCATGGCGTGTGGCAGATGAGAAGCTGATGTGGAATCTTAGACATCTTTAGATCCAGTATTGATAAGAGCAGTTTTCCAAAACAGAAACATCTGAGAGGAGGCTAGAACAGGCTGCTGCTGTTTCTCCAGTGTTGACTGTGGTGTGTGCTGCTGTCAGTCAGAGGAGGGATGCACTGCATCATGACACACAGGACTGGTAATAACGCAGGTCCTGCTGCGCTGGCAAGTGTTTGGGGAGTAGAGATGGAGTCACAATCAGTTATAATTGGGTAAATTCTCTTGTAACTCTGGGATTCTGTGAATCAGGTTGTAATTTTTTCTTTAAATACTAATATCATTTGATGATACTAACATTCTTTATAAAGATATAAAAATATATTTTAAAAACTTTTATGTATCATAGCTGTAGCTTTTTAAGATGGGAAAATGTCCAAGTAAAGTGTTAGATGACTATATATAATGGATGCATTCGAACAGATTTTCTTTTTTTTTTAAGGCATACTAATCTAAATAGCCCAGTAATCTGGCCTTTAAATTGTTCTGTGATGCTGGTTACTCTTAAAGTGTTTTAAGTTCTTTAAAGTATACCTAAATCGTAAAATATCCCATGCTATTTAGATCTCTGTAGCATTAACACTGATTTTGTAGATGTATTCTTGGAACTTCATACTTCAGCCAAGAATACAGAAATTGTAATTTTGTGTGTGATTTCTCACATTGATGGACTGCTAATCACCTTATTCAAAAGATGTGTCTTATTGTTTTGTTTTGTTTTGTTTTTTCCCAAAATTGAGACGTTCTTAGAAAGTGCAGGATTGTGCTAGGAATGCAGGTTGTGTGTTGCAGACAGTGTGCACAGGAGCGGATGCTGACAGTAGGAAAGGACTCCAGCCTCTTGATTCAGGTAGAATGTTCTCTTTACTGCTTCAGATTTGTTCCACAGGGGCAAGTTGCTGTGATTAACTACTTTTTAACCTTTTAAGCACATTTTAAAAAAATAATCTTACTTTTGATTCTTCCCATTGTTCTATAATCAAAGTTTCATAATAAAATCTCAAAAGATGATTCATCAAGGAAAAAAGCACCACCAACGGGGAAAGAAAATGTGTTTTAATCTTAGAGAAAGCAAATATTAAGGTTTTATGGATGTGTCTTACATGGGATGTTGTATTAAAGTCCTCACAGAAAATGACATAGTTGTAGCACCTTAGCATAGACTTCCTAGACTGGTGTTCATAGCTACAGTTTTACAATGTATAACCTGAAAATGAAGTTAATTTTGCATTATAAGAGCACACCATTATCTATGTAAAAACTGTTCATTTGATGTATTTTTTTAAGAAAAGAGAAAGCACTTTCATATTAAGTCGCATGTGTATGAATTTTAGACTTCCTGTTCGTATGTCTATTCAGTGAGTAAAACGGAGCATCAGATGTTTGCTGGCGATGTTAACTGCTAATGGAAGCACCTTATACTCTGCTGCTTAAACTTGCTTGGATTGCACCTTTGTTACCTGCACACTTTCACATAGAGTATTGTAACAAGGCTTTGAGTGGGTCTGGGTGGAAGTTAGTGGTGGGCCTACAGGATATTTATGTTGTTTATATTACAATAATATATTGTAGACCAGTTGTAACTTCAGTTCTTTACAAATAAAAACCTGACTGGTTATTGTATTTTTACTTCTTTAAGATTTTGAGATATGGGAACCTTAATGGAGGGCTGAACTGGTTATACATTTCCTAGCATATAATCTACTAAAAGTATACATTAAGTTCAATATAGCTAAGTATGTTTTATTCTCAAGTTATGGCCATTGGAAGGCGGAGACAAACATGGCGAGGAAAGCGTGCACCACGAACTACAAGGCCAGCTGAGCTCAGTGCACCATCACAGGAGCATGTCTGCTGCCCTGGGTTCAGTCCCCAGCGTCAAGCGTCACAGATGAGTATATGACTTAAATCAGGTCAGCCATTCACCGAGGTTTTATATCTGAAAATAGGAGCCATAAATTGGGATAATAAAAGCTCAGGTTATAGGCAGCTGGCATTTCCTCTGCACTAACAAATGAAACGTGACATCCCAGTGATTGCCTCCTAGTTTATTTCACCACCTCATTGTGCTAGCGCTTTTATTTAGTTTTGGTTTTTTGAAACAAGGCTTCTCTGTGTAGCTTTGGAGCCTGTCCTGGAACTTGCTCTGTAGACCAGGCTGGCCTTGAACTCAAGAGATTTGCCCACTTCTACTTCCTGAGTGCTTGGATTAAAGGCATGTGCCACCATCACCCAGCCTGTGCCCTTTTTCTTAGAATGACTCAGGTTAGGTTTGCATCACAAAGTGTTGTCTGGAATGTTTGATTTCTTAAGTATCAAACGCAGGTCACAAGTACTTGTTAAAACATCTTGCTTGGTGGGAGAGAGACTAAAAAATCTCTTGTGGCCCAGGCTGACATCAAGGTTATAAGGATGACCTTGAATTTCTTGTCTTCCTGCTTACAGCTCCCCAGGTATTGCAGGCACACACTACTACACTACAGCATACATAAACTTTGTGTGTGCTGTAAGCACTCTTCCTAGTGAGTCTAGCCCCAGCCTCTAAGCCACTCATGTTAGAAATGCTAGGAGTGGTTCTTGAAACACATGGTGTTTCTAAAGAGCAGCCAACATATCTATGTAGCTTAATTCATAATATGAGTTCAGCTTATTCTGACTTACATTGCTTCTCTTTAGGGGTTGTTTTCCCAGAAGATTGGAAGTGATGAGGAGTTGTGCCCAGGAGGTTTGGGAATATGTGATTGCCACTTCTGGGGAAGGTGTCATTGGCATTTATACAATGTGTGGAGTTACCCTAAAAGACAGAATCATCTAGCCCTAAATAAGAGTCTGAGGCTTTTTATAGTCTATGTTGCTAACATGATTATGATCTGACATAAATGAACATGCAATTGGTATGTTATGGCAAGAGCTCCTATGGATCCCAGTTCCATAAGCTGAACAGCTGAAACTTTCCATGAATATTTATAATATCTTAGCTATATTTAAAACGAGCTAATATAAAAAATACGAGACCAGCCTGGTCTACAGAGCGAGTTCCAGGACAGGCTCCAAAGCCACAGAGAAACCCTGTCTCGAAAAACTAAATAAATAAATAAATAAAAAATAAAATGAGCTAATATTTCCCTTAAATTTTATTTATACCAAATAATTTTAAGTCTATTTTTTTCTCTAAAGTTGATAAAATATTTAAGTTCAGATCTTAAAGTTGGCAGTGAAATCTCAAATTGGAGTAAACATCAAGCTGGCCACATGTTAATGTGTTTATTTTACTTTTGGATTAACATCAAATACTCACACAGTGTTGCTGAACAGGCATAGAAACTTTGTTGTGTCCTTAGCACTATTTAATATCCACTACAGAGAGGCTGTGCTGAGAAGTTCTAAATTAGGGGGACACGAGCTTCAGTTCTGTGTCCAGAGCCACCAGGTCTGTCCGTGGTGCTTCTGGAGTTCCTCCCAGCACAGCAGACTGTGAACAGATGATTATGGATACGGGCCTCTCCACTTGCTTAAGTCTATGGATTGGAACAAAACAGCATTTCCAGTTGACAAAAGGATCCAGACGTAATGTGCTGTCCCTTAAATAAAGCTTTTGGCAGTTAAACCAAGAAATTGCAGCAATGAGAAAACTGTTGACAAAGTACAGCCAGGGCACATTCATTTCTATGTATGCTGGGATTTGAACTCTGAGTGAGAGGGTGAGGACCTGAAGTGCTACAAAGGGAAACCAGGTACCAAGAAAGCACACAATAAGCCTGGGCAAGAGTGCTTCTCTAGTGCTCACTCCAGAGTGGGATGGGAAGGGACAGTAGAGGACGGTCTTGTTCATATAGGATGCTATCCTAATAGCTTGTACCATGGCAACAACTTCCGGCCACGAAATCAGAAAAGCCACACATAAAACTACCAGCATAGACAGTGACAGCCAGTAACTCTGTGTACTGACATAGGAAGGGCATTGGTACAGAGAAGCGCTGTGTGTCTGCAGGCTTTGTGAGATGGCTGGCTCTCCTAGAACATACGCAAAGACTGAAATCCAAGTTAAAATGACTGTCAAGAAATAAAATAACTTTCGCCACTTAGATGAGTGCTTGGTGGCTCCAGACAGAATCAAACAGTAATCTATACAAGCTAGTAAGCAAACCGGATAATGCAAAAAGCCGTAAGTGAAGGAAATAATTTGTGTGAGCAGACAAATATGATACTGTGTAAACCTAATACCTAGAACTACAAAGTCCTTGAAGTAGAACAGAATGGAAAGGTTAACCCACAGCAGAAGATCAACAAATGCTAGTGAGAAGCAGAAGCACTCCATAAAGCCCCAGTGGGTGTCTTTCCTTTTCAGCCCTAGCATGAGGATATTCAATAACGTTTTCCCAAGTATGATGAGGAACAACAGACAGCTAACATCTACGGGCTGCTTCGACTGGTGTGACAGGGGCTGGAGAGAGCAGTTCTCTGAAGGAAGAGCTGTCATTTTAATTCAAGACGATCTGATGAAGACATAGGACAAGAAACAGCTTCACTTTGTTTTCTTTCCCTGCAAAAAGAAGAAAAACCTTGATGTTATCTGGTGGTCTCTCTACTGTAAAACCCCACATGCTTCTCCATCTGCACAGACTCGTGACTTGTGAGTGAAGTGGCACTTCTAGTGACAAACAGATGCACAGACAGTGATCTCTCCTAACACTATGAATAGAGATCACGATCAAACGTGGTCAGTTTTTGAGCTGTCTTTAAATATTACATAAAAGTGTGACTTCTCTACTAATTTTAACAACTTGCATTTACCTCAGTCAGAACATTAGAAGAAGCAGGCTCAGGGTAATCAGCTGCTCCAGACAAGCTCTCTTTTTGTCCTTTTGACAGTGAAATTTAGAGCTTATGTGTAGGGGCTATTCTGAGTAGCCATTTTCACATTTTTCCATCTAGATTTCTCTGAAGCTCAAAAATCACTAGGTTGAGAATATTGGGAGCCTATGAAAGAGCAGGAGTTCTCCTCAGGATACACTTGTTTAAATGTGGCAGCTGGGCAGAGAACGCAGGAAAGAGCAGGACTGGAGGCATAGGTGCCCGAGAACAAAAATACAAGAGCAAAGGGCGGGAGCTGAAGCTTGAGTGTCAAATGCATGGACAAGTGGGAAAGCAGTCAGAGAGGAAGAATATTCCAGAAATGGCCTTTCAAGAAAAAGAGATTGGATAAAGTTTATTGTCTGGAATATACAAAACCCCTCCTGGAGTAATCTCCAGCACTCTACCCTCTCAAAACCCCAGACAGCAACATATATCTCAAACACACACACCAGCCAGAAAAACAGCGGAATCCTAACAACAAATCTGAGGGATGTCAACAATTAGATGGGTTAACCCAACACACGGTAGGCATATCATTAAGATGTGCTGTATGCAGCCATTAAAATATCAAGAGGGCTGAGATGTAGCACAGTGGTAGGTAGTACATTTGCCTTGTATGTTCACAACCCTGGGTTTGATCCCTTCTACAAGAACAACATTAAAAAGCTTATTCAGATAGGAAAATTAATTCTAGTGAAAGCACTATTTCTATTCTTGCTGAAACTTCACACATTAAAGACGATAAATTTCTACAATAGTTTAAGTGAAATATAAAGTGTAATATTACGCAACATAGAGGCATAGTGGCATGTGTGTTGAATGAATACCAGCTCCTAGGAGGCACAGGCAAGTGGATCTCTTGAGTTCAAGGCTAACCTGGTCTACAGAGACATAGAACATCCAGACCAGCTAGGGCTGCAGATAGCTCATATAAATAACTTAATGATACACTTGAAAGCTTTAAAAAATAAGAACAGACACCCAAAAAGAGTAGACAGGAAGAATTAAACTTAGAGGTGAAATCAATGAAATAGAACAACAATACAATGAAAAGATGATTTAGTTCTTTCAAAACATTAATAGTATTGACAAACCTTTAGCCAAATTAACCAAAAGAAGATCAAAATTAATATTAGAGATGAGAATGACATTACAGCAGAAACTGAGGAAGTTCACAGAATCATAAAGACATGCTTTAGAAATGCATTTCTGTATGTGTACAACCTATCAAAGTTAAAAATTGAAGTAGACCCATAACATCTAAAAAGATAGAAGCAGCAATTAAAAGTCTCGCAACTAAAAAAAGCCTGGGCCAGAAAGAGTTTGGAATTTTGCAAAACCCTCAAAACACCAATATTCCTCAGGTTATTCCATTGTGCAGACCAACTAAAGGAAATTAAGGACCAATATTTCTTATGAATGTAAGTGCAAAGAATCTCAACAAAATACCTGCAAACAGAATCTAAGAAGACATAAATTTTTTTTAAAATATTTATTTATTTATTATGTATACAATATTCTGTCTGTGTGTATGTCTGCAGGCCAGAAGAGGGCACCAGACCTCATTACAGATGGTTGTGAGCCACCATGTGGTTTCCGGGAATTGAACTCAGGACCTTTGGTAGAGCAGGCAATGCTCTTAACCACTGAGCCGTTAATCATTATGATACAGTTGGCTTCCTCCCAGTGATATAAGAGTGGTTCCATATAAGTTAATCAGTAAATGTAATCCTTCACATAAATAGAAGGACAAAACCCACATGATCATCTCATCAGTTATAGAAAAGGCCTATGGCCAAACAAAACAAAACAAAACAAAACAACATCCCTTCTTGATACATTTTGGAGAAAAATGGATCAAAAATGATTAAGTGGGGCAGGGCTTGGGAGTGCACAGTAGAGAAGAGACTATGCTGAGGGATAGTATTAAAGGCCTTTGAGTCACTGGTGGTGCACATACACCTTACATTCTGGCACTTGGGAGGCTAGCCAGGTGGGTGTCTGAGTTTGAGGCCAGGATAGTCTACAGAGTGAGTTCTAGGACAGTCAAGGCTACAGAGAAGCTGTCTTAAAAAAAAAACAAAAGGCCCTTGGAAAGTACAAGTTTAAATGGAGTTATGCTGGGAGTGATAGGCAAACCAATTAGATACCATACACCTTCCAAATCATACCACCAGTACCTGGGATAGGTCACTTATTATTTTTGAGTTGTTTGTCAATGATGTTCATACACCTGCACCCAAACATCATCCAAACATCATAACCTATTGCCAATGTATTGGTTGCCCTCTAGAAATTGATGGTATAACCCTATTGCTAAGCTGGACAGTGGTGGCGCACACCTTTAATCCCACCAGCACTTAGGAGGCAGAGGCAGGCGGATCTCTGTGAGTTCGAGGCCAGCCTGGTCTACAAGAGCTAGTTCCAGGACAGGCTCCAAAGCTATAGAGAAACCCTGTCTTGGAAAAACAAATAAGTAAACAAATCTCTATTGTTGGAGATAACACATACTTGAGAAATCTAGCTGGTACTGACCTGGAAGCTTTCCCCCTACTGGCTAGTTTTTATGTTGCTGGAAGATACTATATATGCTACCAGAGGAGAAAAGTAATTGTCTCATCTAGCTATAACTCTGAGCTATAACAACAACCTGCCTGGCAATAGTGGCACAAATGTTATAGAAGTAACCAACCACTTTTTGATTGGATTTAAGGCCTGTTCCACAAGATAGAACCCATACCTGAATCTCAATAAGGTCCAGAACCTGTGGTTAGATAGGCAGAGTTTTGAGTCCACTGTGTCCTCAAGGGCCTGAAGGGATGGCCCAGGATCAAAGGCTGGGGTTGACGGGCTGGCACCATCCAGTAGGAACTGCCGCCTCGGTTGACAAAGGGGCCTCAGAAGAGGCTGGGGGGCCAGGCCGCCCCAGAAGTGAAGGGCAATCAGGTAGAGGAAGTAACGGTTGGGGTTTGCGAAGATGGTCTGGGCCCAGAAGTGACCACAGGGGCTTCTTTGGGCCTACGAGGGGCTGTTTAGGTAGGTGAAATTGCTCTGGGCTAAGACGTGGACACTTCTGTTGTGACTGTATAGGACGCAGCAGGGCAGGCTTTGGAGGGCTACTCTGCTCTGGGCCTTCAACTAATTGCTGGGGCTGCTTGAGGCCCACCAGTGACTGTCGGCAACTGGACTGACCCAGGAGAGATCTACGGGCCAGCTCTGCTGACTCAGTGTGGATCTTCTGACCCAGCACCATCAGTCTTGTGTGCCATAAACTTATTAAGGTGTACAATTTATTTATAAAAATATGTAAAAATTGTGTTAAAAATACAGTATTTTAAAACTATAGGTATAAAAGAAACCCAATAAGCAAGCACTCAAGGTTCCCCCCCATCCTCACTTCAGTTTAACTTGACCCTCTCTGAAAACGGTCCATTCCAGATCGAGCAAACAAGGACAAAGAAATGTAGCTGTCCACCTGATGGACAATGCATGCCCAATTGGGGTGGCCTGAATAAGGAAGAAAGCCTGGAGGGAAGGACAGACCACACAAAGCTCTCCTTGGAACAAGAGACACACTGGCTTAAATTTAAACATGCCAATGTTGTTTTAAAATTGGGGTGAGGGAGGAAAATTCTGAGGGATCACATTTATAAAACCCTGGGCCAGGAATTAGCTCCGTTGTAAAGAGCAGATACTCCCATAGAGGAGCCGGTTTGGTTCTTAGCACCTACGCTGGATGTTTCATAGCTAGCTAGCTCCAGTTCCAGGGATCCAATGCTTCTGGTTTCTATGGGCAGCTTGACTCAAGTGTACACAAACACACAATTAAAAATAAATCCCAGGGGCTGGAGAGATGGCTCAGAGGTTAAGAGCATTGCCTGCTGTTCCAAAGGTCCTGAGTTCAATTCCCAGCAACCACGTGGTGGCTCACAACCATCTGTAATGGGGTCTGGGGCCCTCTTCTGGCCTGCAGGTATACACACAGACAGAATATTGTATACATAATAAATATTTAAAAAAAATCACAAAAATTCAGGGCAGGTGAGCTGGTTCAGATAGTGAAGGTGTCTGCTGCCAAGCCCAATGACCTCAGTTGAATCCACAATCCCATGTGATGCAAGGAGAAAATTGACTCTTTCAGGTCATCCTCTGACCTCCACACATAGACTGTGGTTCCTCCCAAAATGAATGAAAATTAGCAATTTCTTTAAAATCCAGGCTTAAGAGTGTATCTCTGGAGTAAAAGAAGCAAGAGAATGCTCTATCTTCAGCGATTCTATTGCTTATATCATCCATCCAAAGGAATTAGCAAAGCCAGAAAGCGCTGGCTAATGTCTGGAGCACTCAGTGTTCCCCAGGGGCTCACGAAGGCTCGGTTCTAAAACCTGCCTGGAACGGCTAGATGAGGAATCTGACACAGAGTGTGGGAGAAAACCCAGGGAAGGCACACGTCTGGAGGTGGAAAAGCAATTAAAGGGAACACGCAAGAAGTAAAGTTCTGGGTCGTTTTACAGTGGTTCCTGAGTATGGCTATAGAAAAGAAAACTTTCTCAGGTGAAACATTTCTTAGAGAATTTTATATATGTAGTCCCTTCTTGCATAATCTACTACAAATATCTAAAAATTCCAGTATTTTCTCCTCAGTAGGCTCCCAGAATGAGGCGAAATCGTCTTCTACTCTACCTG